GCCCGTTTTTTCGTGGTCACCTAGATCACTGTGGTCACAGGTAGCACCAGAGTGGACTCTGGGAAATAGTAAAGAACATTCAACATCTTGGGTTTTTTTGTTGCTGTTGTTTTGTTTTTTATCAACTGCATCTTCATTATGTTTTTGATCATCGTGATTATGAGGGAAATGACGCCTGGCATACAATTCTTGCATCCTACTAACTTGTATAAAGAAGTAAAACTCCTTCCTCATCTTACAGGCTACTGACAATTGCAGTTTACTGTTGTATGTGCGCAGCTTTCCCTCCCATTGGGGGCCCCCTCCCCAGCTCCGTTGCTGATAGCAACCAGCTTCTGTAGATGAGTGACAGGGGCCAGGTGGGGACTGGGGCAAACTTGTGGACACAGGGCGTGGGCCGCCTCTGGGGCCGCAGTTTCCCCACCTATGACTTTAGGTGAGGGTTTTCAACCCTGGCTGAGCCAAAGAATGAACTGCTGAGCTTTTAAAATGTACTGAATGGGGCGCCTCGGTGGCTCAGTCGGTTAAGCGTCTGACTTCGGCTCAGGTCATGATCCCATCATTCTTGGGTTCGAGCCCCGCGTCGGGCTCTATGCTGATCGCTAGCTCAGAGCCTGGAGCCTGTTTCGGATTCTGTGTCTCCCTCTGTCTCTGACCCTCCCATGCTCACTCTGTCTCTCTCTCTCTCTCAGAAATAAATAAAACATTAAAAAAAAAAATCATTCCCTATCTTAAAAAAAAATGTACTGAAGCCCCGGCCCCGCTTCCAAGCCGCTAAATCAGGGCAGGGGCCTGGACACTTCTAGGAAATTCTGCCATTCCTCCACGGGTGCCCAGAGCTGCCTTGGGTTGTACTTTAGATGTTAGCGAGTTCTGCTGAGGTCTGATGCCGTGTGACAGCTGTGGTCCCAACCTGGGTGGGAAGTGAAGGGTACAGAGGAAGGCAGAGGTGAGTTGGGGCTGGGGAGTGTCCTGGGTCCAAGTTCTTCATGTCTGGTCTTCCACGGGGGAGCGACTTTGGCCACCAGCATCGATGTCCTAATAATAGCCTTCACTTCCTGCTTCAATGCTGTGGCCTCTGGCCTCGCTCATTGGATGTGAGCGGTTTTTCCATCAGAGCAGCCCTGGAACCCTCATCCTGGGTCCCAGGGTGAGCCTATCCACATTCAGCTGGCGATCAGCAGGACCAGCCTTAGTAAAATGGCAGCTCCCATGGACCCCACACCTTCTAAATACCAACAGGGAAAGAACAGCCTGGAGCGGAGAGGGGAAGGGACTTCTTCCCCATGCCACTTAGTGAAACAGGGAAGGAGCTGGGACTGGAGTCCACACCCTTCCTCCCAAACACACATCTGCAGTTAAACAGCTGGAGTTTATTCTTGTGGCCACAGTGAGAGAGAGCCCATGCCACCGGCAGCCACGATGACATCCGTCAGTGGCATTAGAAAGGACCTCTCAGGGGCTGTGGGCTTTGGCTGAAGCATCTGTGGGGATCTAAGGAACCTTGCTCTAGATCAAATAACGTCAGAAATCAGGGGCAATTCTACGGGTAAAGAAGTGGCAAGAGAGGGTATGCATGGCATCTTGTGGTGGCAAGTGGCTCTGTGCTAAGAAGTGTCCTTACTTTGTCTCATTTCATCAAGTCTCAGAGAGCGAGTCTGTCTGATGTTGGCGAATGTATAAGATTATGTAGCTCCAACCTGAGAACTCAAGGCAAATCTGGGCCAGACCAGTTCCTGATGACAGGGGCCGCTTTCTTACTCTTTCTCAAGAGGAACCCACATTAACTAAATCCTTGCTAGGGCTCAGATTCCCGTTACATTCTTCCAGTTGGGGTCTGGTAAACTTTGGCTCACTGAATCTAGCCCACTGTCTGGTGTGTGTGTGTGTGTGTGTGTGTGTGTGTGTGTGCGCAACCTATATGAGCTGAGCATAGACTTTATATTTTTAAATGGTTGAATAAATCAAAAGAATATTTTGTGACATGTGAGCATTATGTGAACTTCAAATTTCCAGGGTCTAAAAATGAAGGTTTAGCCATACGTGTTCATTTATGTATTGTCTACGGCCATTTCATGGCAGAGTTGAGTACCACAGAGACTGTATGGTCCCCCAAAACTAAGATATTTACTATCTGGTCCTTTACAGAAGAAATTTATCAATCCCTGCTTTATTTATTTGTTTTTTTTATGTTTATTTATTTTTGAGAGAGAGAGAGAAAGAGAGTGAGCTGGGGAGGAGCAGAGAGAGAGAGGGAGACACAGAATCCGAAGCAGGCTCCAGGCTCTGAGCTGTCAGCACAGAGCTCTATGCAGGGCTCAAACCCACGAGCCATGAGATCATGACCTGAGCCCAAATCAGACGCTTAACTGACTGAGCCACCCAGGCGCCCTGCCAATCCCTGCTTTAAATGGTGCCTTAGTGCCTTCAGTCTGCTATAACAAAACTACCATGGGCTGGGTATTTATTTCTCATAGTTCTGGAGGCTGGGAAGTCCAAGATCAAGGTGCCAGCAAATTTGTCTGGTGAGGGACTGTTTCTTGATTTATACATGCCCATCTTCTTTCTGTGTCCACACACAGTGGAAGAGACAAGGGAACTCTGTGGGGCATCTTTTATCTTTTTATTATTTTAAAGTTGTTTTTAATGTTTATGTAGTTTTGAGAGATAGAGAGAGCATGAGCAGGGGAGGGTCAGAGAGAGGGGGAGACACAGAATCTGAAGCAGGCTCCAGGCTCTGAGCCGTCAGCACAGAGCACGATGCAGGGCTCAAACTCGGGATGGCGAGATCATGACCCAGACTGAAATCAGATGCTCACCCACTGAGCTACCCAGGCGCCCAGGCATCTTTAAGGGCACTAATCCCATTCATGAGGACTCTGTGCTTATTATATAATCACCTCCCAAAGGTCCCACCTCCTAATACCATCTCAGTGGGGATCAAGTTTCAACGTATGAATCTGTGGGAGATGCAAGCACTCCGTCTATAGCAAATGGGTCAATTCCTTAATCCTCTTGACAATTCCAGAATTACTACTCACATTTTGTGAATTAAAGAACTGAGGCACAGCCAGATTCAGAGGTTTATGTAAACCAAGGTTTCTCGACTTCAGCACTATGACATTTTGGGTAGGATGCATGACTTTGCTGGGGGGCGGGGCTGACTTGTCCGTAGTAGGATGTTTAGCAGCGCTCCTGGCCTCTACCCACTAAATGCCAGCAACACTCCCCCACCCCTACTTCCACTCCCAGTTATGACAACCGAAAATGTCTCCAGACATTGCCCAATGTCTCCTGGAGGCAGAATCGGCCTCAGCTGGGAACCGCTGATATAAGGTTACATAGTTAAGTGATGGATTTGTGATTTGAACCCAGAACCCAGTGCTCAGCTATGGTCACACCCTCAATGCCCAGGGATAGGTTCTTTTGTTCTTGGTGACAGTTTCAGCTGCAGAAAGTTTTAACTCCTTCAATTGTTCTTGTCTCCAAAACACTATTGAAGGCTTCTGGGGAGACTGACCTATTAGGCAAGAAATGTCTTTAAAAGGAAGTCAGATCCTGTCCTGACTCCCTTCTGCTCAAACCCTCCCCTGGCTCTGCTCACATCTGACTCTGAGTAAAAGCCAAAGTCCTTACTGAGAGTCCCAAGACCTCTGCATGACCCAGCCCACCTCCTGACCCCCTCACCCCTGCCCCTTCTCTCACCTCACCTCCTGCCACCCTCTTCCTTACTCATGCCCCTCCAGCCCCAGCTCCACTGCTCTCCCTTCTTCTCCACATACCAGATACATTCTCCCTCAGGGCCTTTGCACTTGCTTCTGCTGTTGCTTAGAGTTCTCTTTCCATGGCTCTTCCTTTGGCTCCTTTTGTTCTTTTTCTTTTTTTTTTCTTTTTTCCTCTTGGCTCCTTTCATCCTTGAAGTCTCAAATCGGCTGCCATCAGCTCATGGTGTCTGCTCGGCTGACCTGATCACAGTAGCTCACCTCCTCCCCTCCGGACTCTGCAATCACTCTCCATCACATCACCCACTTTTCTTTCCTCCATCTCTGCCTGAGATATTCTGTATTCACTGATTGTCTCCCCTTCTAGAATATAACCTTCATGGGAACCGAGGGCTTGTCCTATATTATTCACTGTGTACTGCAAACTCATAGCACATAGTAGGTGCTCAGGAAACACTGAATGAATCAATGAATGAATGGGAGAGCGGTGTGACTGATCCACTACTTATAGCTAGTCTTTCCCAAACATCCCATTGCCAATGGCAGCTCAGGTGAGTCTAGACTTGGGTCACTGGTTGTCTAGGGGACTTGCAGCTTAACACCTGCCCACAGGCCGGGGCCATCTCCAAATATGAACAGGTGGGAAAGAAGGATGGAATTTCGAGTGCCTTTTTAAAAAGTGCAATTACAGGGCGCCTGGGTGGCTCCATTGGTTAAGCGTCTGACTTCGGCTCAGGTCATGATCTCATTGTTCATGGGTTTGAGCCCTGTGTCGGGCTCTGTGCTGACAGCCAGCTCAGAGCCTGGAGCCTGTTTCAGATTCTGTGTCTCCCTCTCCCTCTGACCCTCCCCTGTTCATGCTGCCTCTCTCTCTGTCTCTAAGAAATAAATAAATTTTTAAAAAATTTTTAAATAAAAAAATAAAAAGTGCAATTATGGGGCGCCTCGGTGGCTCAGTCGGTTAACCGTCTGACTTCGGCTCAGGTCATGATCTCATTGTTTGTGGGTTCGAGCCCTGTGTCGGGCTCTGTGCAGACAGCTCAGAGCCTGGAGCCTGCTTCAGATTCTGTGCCTCCCTCTCTCTCTGACCCTCCCCTGCTCACGCTGTCTCTCTCTCTCAGAAATAAATAAAACATTAAAAAAAATTTTTTTTTAAAAAGTGCAATTACTAGTATCGGAGGGGGACCCGAAGAAGCCCTTTTCACTGCCTATGCAAGAATAAGAATACTCCTCTCTGCTCATCACTGTCACTAAAGACGCCCTGTTTTTCCGTCCTAGCCGCCGTGCGGAGAAACGGTCTGCATGCTCTGCCCACGGAGGTGCAATTTCTTGCCGGCACAGAAGAGTGAGTTCCCGGTGTGGTCGAGTGATAGAGGAGCCAGTGCTTGGTCCAATGAGACGATGGACAAGAATTCAGTGCTGCCAGCCAAACTCCCCCTTCCCCTCATTTTCTCCAAATGACCTAATGCCCGAGCTTCTACCATTCATCCCTTGGGCTTAGACAAGAAAAATGCAAATGTGGGTGGAAAGGGCAGGGGAGCACGTTAAGTCCCTAGAGGTCTGCTGAAGCGGAGCATCTGAAAGGGGGGGCCGGCCGAGCAGATGCACACAAACTATAGGGCAGGCGAGGAGGAGGAGCATGCCGGCAGGGATCAAGGGGCTCTAAAGGCAAAAGGATCCTGAGAAACAATCACGGTCCTTCACAACCGTGCGGCTTAGGAAGCACCTTCACGTCGACAGCACGTTTCAGTGGCCGGTGTCCTTGGTATTTGGCAGCGTGGTTAAGACCTGGGGGGTTGGAGCCCTGCAGACCTGCCTTTGATTCGGGCTCTGCGGCTCACCGGCTGTGTGATTTGGACAAGTCCCTTAACCTCTCTGAGCCTCATTTAGCTTCATCCACCAGCTGGACCTGACATTGGTACCCGCCTTGGAGGGTTCTTTTGAGGTTAAATGAGATAATATTGATCAAGCAGGTTGCTGGGCCCTACGTGCACGGATAGGAGTGCTTGTTATTCCTGGCATTGTTAACTCGGTTTCTCGGTGATGAAAGAGCAGGAAGTAAAGTCACTTGCTCAAGGCATCGCTTGGCATCAGTCAGGTCTGTTTTATTCATTCGACAAATATTTATAGACAGCTTAACCACGCGCCAGGCACTGCCACGGATGCAGCCACAGACGGAACTGTAGCCCTCATGGAGTTTACATCCCGGTGACAAGAAACAAACACATGAGTGAAATTCATAGGGTGTCAGATGGTTGGTGAGAGCTATGCAGGGGACAAGCAGGAGAGATGAGCAGGGGGGGCCTTTGGGGGGTGAAAAGGCAGTTTTATTATTTTTTTTTAAATATTTTTATTTATTTCTAGGAGAGAGAGACAGACAGACAGACAGCGTGAGCAAGGGAGGGTCAGAGAGAGAGGGAGTCATAGGCTGAAACAGGCTCCAGGCTCTGAGCTGTCAGCACAGAGCCCGACGCGGGGCTCGAACCCACGAACCGCGAGTTCATGACCTAAGCGAAAGTCGGACGCTTAACCGACTAAGCCACCCAGGCGCCCTGAAAAGGCAGTTTTAAACTGGGTGGTCAGGGATGGTCTCTCTAAGAAGGTCACACTTAAGCAAAATGACCCCTTGGGAAGAGTGTTCTCAGCGGAGGGGCCAGCAGGTGCAAAGGTCCTGAGAGTCCAGAGCAGCCAGGAAGCCAGTATGGCTGGAGTAGGGTGAGTGGATGGCGGCAGTTGGGGGTCAGAGAGATTGATTGTGCGGTGGGGGTGGTGGTGGAGGGATGGAGCATGAGGGACCTCATAGGCTAACGGTAGAGTCTTGACTTTGAATGAGATGGGAGTCAGTGGAGGCTTTTAGCAGAAGAGAGACGTGATCTTATGTCTGATTGTCTCATTCTACGGCCTCCACTCCTTCCTGGCACTGTATCTGGGGGCTTTGAGTCCAGCTTTGAGATGCGGTTTCTGCGACTGGCCCAGCCACTCACTACCATGCATCCCAGGAATCTGTTTGGGCCATCTGTCCATGCAGAGCTTGTACTGAATCTGTTGGAAAAACTCAGACCTCATTCTCTGGAACTCCCTGTGTCCACCGAGTGAAAACCTCATCCATTGGACGGGAGCTCCATGCCCATTGGTATGGAAGTCCCCTCTCTGGGACTTAGTTTCCCCAACTGAACAAAGGAATGCTTGCACTAGATGAACCCCAGGCCCCTCTGCTCTCTCATTCTCATTGGGAGGCTGAGTGTGGTCTCCTAGACCCGGGGACCCACATTTCCTGCCAGGACTTTCACCCCGAGAAGTCAGGCCATGACATCAGTCTCCAGCTGCCTCTAGTCTTCCCTTCCTTTTAGACCCCAAGTCCTCTCCCAGCGCCTTCCAGATAAGAGGCTACTCTTAGCAATTCAGGCCAGAAGATACTTGAGGTATTTTTGATTCCTTAAAAAAATTGATTTGTCGGGGCGCCTGAGTGGCTTAGTCGGTTGAGCGTCCGACTTTCGCTTAGGTCATGATCTCGTGGTTCGTGGGTTCGAGCCCCGCATTGGGCTCTGTGCTGACTGCCAGCTCAGAGCCTGGAGCCTTTTTCAGATTCTGTTTCTCCCTCTCTCTCTGACCCTCCCCTTCTCACGCTGTCTCTCTCTCTCTTAGAAATAAATAAAAATTTTAAAAAAAAATTGATTTGTCATATAGGGACAACTCTTAATTTCATTCATTTATGAAAATTTTATAATTGCACAATGAAAAAGAAAACTCTTAAACAAAAAGGAAGATGTATCCAGCACCCCACTCCCAAAGACGGATGAAAATAGTTAAGGGAATACTATTCTAGACTATTTCTGGATACCTCTCTAAGTACATAAATGAGTTTTTTTTTTTAAAAAAAAACGACATTGATAGTGCTCTAGTATATGCTCTTTTGTAACCTGCTGTCTTACTTAGGAGCATAGTGAGCATCTTTTCAACTCAATACATTTATGGCAGCATCATTATCTTTTAATTATATAATTAACAATTCTTAAATTCATTCGTTCCCAATACTCTTTTAAAATTTTTTTTTGTTTTATTTATTCTTGAGAGAAAGAGAGAACATGAGCAGAGAAGAGTCAGAGAGAGAGGGAGACACAGAATCCAAAGACAGGCTCCAGGCTCTGAGCTAGCTGTCAGTACAGAGCCCGTCACAGTGCTCGAGCCCACGAACCGTGAGATCATGACCTGAGCCAAAGTCGGACGCTTGACCGACGGAGCCACCCAGGCGCCCTGTCTTTCCCAATACCCTTAACCACACCAGAAAAGCAACCAGAAAATACAAAGAATGAAAGAGGGGGAAAAAATCCATAATTTCATCCCCGAGAAAGGCACCAAAATAACTTTGTCTATACCATTCTAAATTTTTCTTAATACTCAGATATTCACGAAATATATGAATATTTTTTAAATAAAAAAATTAAGCAGCGCAGTTACAATACCCTTTTTCACTTCATATAATGGACATATTTTATCTTAATAAACGTCTGTCTAGGTCTTGTGTTTTGTTTTTGTTTTTGAGAGAAAGAGAGCACTAGCCGGGGAGAGGGGCAGAGAGAGAGAGAGAGAATGAGAGAGAGAGAGAGAGAGAGAGAATCTTAAGCAGGCTCCACCGTGATGTGGGACTCGATCTCACGACCCTGGGATCATGACCTGAGCTGAAATCAAAAGTAGCGCTCTCGACTGACTGAGCCACCCAGGCGCCCCTAGATCATCATTTTTAATAGCTGCATTGGTGTTCCATCCAGAAAGAGGATCATTATAATCTATCCAACACCCTTTTGATGGAGATTAAGGTTGTTTTTAATATAAACTATATTTAGTGCCATGGCGAACTCACACCCACACCTGAGGCACCTGCCCAATTCTTTCTTTCTTCTTTTTTTTTTTAGTGTTTATTTTTGAGACAGAGAGAGACAGAGTGTGAGTGGGGGAGGGGCAGAGAGAGAGGGAGACACAGAATCCAAAGCAGGCCCCAGGCTCTGCGCTGTCAGCACAGAGCCCGACGCAGGGCTCGAACTCATGATCTGTGAGATCATGACCTGAGCCAAAGTCAGACGCTTAACTGACTGAGCCCCCCAGGCGCCCCCCAATTATTTCTTTAGGATAAATTCCATGAGTAGAACACTTGAGCTGAAGGGTTGCATGTCTTTAGAGGTTTTCCCTGCCTGTGCCCAGCTGCCTTCTAGGAAGACCACTCAGTTCTCCCAACCCAGGCACTGCTCCCCCACTACTAGGCCAGGAATTCTGAACTGTGTTCTGAATGCCTTCTTTCTGGGTTTGTTTAAAGCAAAGACTGCCCTGAGGCGGAAGCTCCCTTGGATCTCCTGGCAGACTGCAAGAAGGAAGGGGAGTACCGCAGAAACATCTGGAAGGGCTTCCTCATCTCCATCCCCTACTCGGCCAGCATTGGGGGCACTGCCACCCTCACGGGCACGGCCCCCAACCTCATCCTGCTTGGCCAGCTCAAAAGGTAAAGGCAGGTGCGCTCCACGGGTCACTGGGGTCTCTGCTCCTCCCACCCCTCCTCCTCTCCTTCATTCAACATCTGGGGAGATAGGTACTGAATGCCTTCGACTGGCCAGGCTCTGGGGACCCAGCAGCGCGAAGGGCCCTCACTGGGGAACTTCCATTTTGGTGGTGGAGACAAGCGATAAAAGAAAAGGCAGATGGATATATACGCGTTGGTGTGATAAGCTATGGAATAAAAGAAAGCATGATGAGGGTGTGGAAGGGACAGGAGTGGGTGCTGTTTTACATAGGCAACCTCTCTGACGGGGACATCTGAGATCTAGAAGTTATGTGAGCACAGGAGGGAGACGCATTCCAGACAGGGGACAGCCTGTGTAAAGGTGAACGGCACAGAGACCAGTGACGCTGGAGGGCAGAAGGCAGAGGGGAGTGGGGGAGGAGAGAAGGTAAGTTGTTAGGACACCAGCTTTTCCCGCTAGCGAGATGGGGAGCCCAGTGCAAAGCTGAGGGCAAAGGGATGACATGATGTGACATCGGCTTTAAAAAACCAACCCCACTGAAGGTGTTGGTCCGTGGCCGCAAGGCCCCAGGAGAAGCTTTGCAAACCAAGCACCAGGCCAGCAGGAGCGAGTCTCCCCATCGCCGAAGCTGTTCCCAGAGTGGCTGGGTGGCCATCTGCCAGGCTGGAGAGGGAAAGGATTCTCAGGTGGCATGACTTGACACTTCCATCATCCCAAGCCTCTCAGTTTGAAGATCTAAGCAAGCCCAGGTGTTTCAAGATTCCATTCCTCAGATGCCCAGATTCGAGGATTCTGAGATTTCTCTGCCGTGGGAGGAACACCCTATGTTCACTTAATCCACGTGAACGCGAGTGTAAGCATTTGGCAAACAAACACAACTGAAGTATTTAATATTCAACACGGCCCCAGATGCAGGCCGACTCCCTTACCCGGAACTCGATCAAAGAATCACGGACTTCCTGAGATGATGCGGGAAAGTCTGTGATGTCTGTGATGTCTTCCTGAGTGTAGGTTTGCTGTCACTTCCAATCAAAGTGATTTTCATGAGATATTCTAAATATACCCGTCTTTTAACCCCCTAAGCCAATTTTATTTTTTAAGTTTATTTATTCATTTTGAGAGAGACCGAGACAGTGTGAGTGGGGGAGAGGCAGAGAGAGACAGACAGACAGAGAGACAGACAGAGAATCCCCGGCAGGCTCCATACAGTCAGCAAGGAGACCAACGCAAGGCTCAAACCGATAAAGCTGCGAGATCATGACCTGAGCCGAAACCAAGAGTCAGACACTTAATCGACTGAGTCACCTAGGGGCCCCCTGAGCCAATTTTATTTTATTAATTTTTTTAATGTTTATTTACTTTTGAGAGAGACAGAGTGCAAGTGGGGGAGGGGCAGAGAGAGAGGGAGACACAGAGTCCAAAGCAGGCTCCAGGCTCTGAACTGTCAGCACAGAGCTCGATGTGGGGCTCGAACCCACGAACCGTGAGATCGTGACCTGAGCCAAAGTCAGACGCTCCACCGACCGAGCCATCCAGGTGCCCCGCCCAGGCCAATTTTAAAACCTTAACCTTCCACTGTATTCTCAGGCTCTGAAATCTTTTGATTTTCAGAGCTGATGATGGAAACAAGTAATTCTCAGCCATGGGTGTGTATTAGAGTCACACCCTCTCCCCCCTCAGGGTGCCTGGGTCTCTGCTGCAGAGATTCTGACTCATAAGGTGTGAGACGGGTGAGGTCGCTCAGCGCTTTCCCAGCTGACCAAGCCCACTGCACAACTCTGGTGTCTTTTGACCTTTGAGCAAGGCCTGGCTGTGCCTTGTGGGTTTTGGTTTGTTGGTTGGTTTGTTTTGCTTTGTTTTTAAGGACTGCGAAACCAGAGGCCAAGACGGTCCTGCTCGCAAAGTGGGGACCAGCTGAGTTTGGCTCTTTAGTGTCCTCAGTTAGAAGGAAGTACCGGCAAAGGGCCTGCGGGCCGGGCCGGGAGGACAAAGCCGAGCACTTCCCCGGGCTGGACAGGAAAGCTGTGGGCTCTGGGGCTCCCCCGGGGCAGATGCTGAGTTGCGGGATGGGGAGGAACGGGGCAGGTGGGGGCAGTTGCTGTCAGAGCGTTATGAGGCTGCCCGCCCACCCTGATACGAGCAGGAATTGGTTCCATCTTGAAAAGAAATTAAGGGAAAAAATGCTGGAGGTATAAATAAAAATATCAAATGTGCAGGAATTTGAGTAAATTACATGTAAATCACATGCAAATCATACACACCGTTTAATTGCATAAGCTTGGACCTTTGGGTCTAGAAGGAGGGGATTTAACATGAATGCCAATTAATGTGAGGTTCTGACTCTCCAGCCAGGGGCGTGAGGAGGTAGGGAAATGGCTGCCATGAGTGTCCCTCCTTGGCTTTGCTCCCCAAATACATTCGATTACTTTACTCTGATTATATTACAGAACGCTCAGAGAAGGTAGAAAATTGTTTGAAACACTTTCAATCGCACCTTAATATCGTGCTTAATATTAAGCACACTGCTGTGTGTCCCTCTGAACTTCCGTGTTCTAGCTGAGAAATAGCCGCCTGTATGTACACCGTGTACATCCACGTGGCGGACCTTGGCTGCCTCTCACCCCCGCCCTGTTTCTCCAGTTTCTTCCCACAGTGCGATGTGGTGAATTTCGGCTCCTGGTTCATTTTCGCCTTCCCTCTCATGCTGCTCTTCCTGCTGGTGGGCTGGCTGTGGATCTCCTTCCTGTACGGGGGAATGACCCTGAGGTACCCTCACGCCTACCTTGCACTTTGAGCCTGACTGGAGTCCCGGCTTCCCTCTCGTTGGGTAGACAGGCGTCTTCTGCAGTCTCGTTTCCTCCTAAACTAAGGATACCGTCACTGTAACCTCATGTCACCTCCCGGGGTGACTGTAGGGACTTCACCTCCCGGGGGTATGAGGATTATGTGGTGTGAGCTGTCTGCGAGGCCCAGACCCTCAGCTCACGGGCTCCCATCGTCAGTAATTACCGAGAGCATCGTCCTTTAGGTACTCGCATTTTATGGGGCTCTGGTACAGGAGATAATTTGGGGTGGCACGGGGCATTCACTAACATCGACTCTTATAGTGAGAAAAAGAATCCCTTTATCACCTCCCGTAGAAGGAAGCAAGTCTCCGCTGGGTGATGAGGACACGGTCATACCTCTCTAACATTTCCATATCAGCCTTTCAAACGGAGCAACTGCCAGCTCCAGAGGCATCAGCCAGCGATAGTACCTGGGCAGAATGTAATGAGGGCTCTGCTTTCATGTGTTTATTTTTATGATTACATTTTTAACGGCAAGCGATTCTTGTTTTCCATTTATGGGAGCGATATAAAATGTTCTGTTTACATACATAATTAAAGACTGAAATGATGAATCTATCTGGAGGAAAATATTAAGCAAATATGAGCCAGGTGGTATGTGGATACAGGAACAGCATTGAGGGTAGGTTAGGAGTTTGCCTGGAGTTTGGGAAATCCTAACATAGGAGCTGGGGGTAGCAGGTATGTCGTAAAGTCATTCTCTGACTCTGCCCCCTCACCTCTCTGAGCCTTAGTTTGCTCATCTGTAAAATGGAACCAGTAGAAGCAACTCTAGATCAAAGAGACATGAAAACGCTTGAGAACAGCAAGGCTCTGATCATGGTGTTCCTTGACCCATGTGCTCTCCAGAACAACTCATAGCAGAGACGCAGGTTTCCAAGCCCACATTCTCCTGGAGAAGCATGTCCTGACTTTGAACTCAGATGGACCAGAGTTCAAACCACCCTTCCATGAGATCTTGAGCAATTTTGTAACCTCCCTGAGCTTTTCATTTCTTCACTTGTGGATTAAGGCTAAAAATGAGCTAAAGCAAAAGTAAAGGTTGGATGAAGGAGGGTGTGTCGACTGCCCAGGACTGAGCCTCAAATAGAGCCCTTTTCTCCAGTCCACTTGTTTGAATCTAACAAGCATCTGCGGAACTCGGCCACAAGAGGCTGTGATGGAGGAAGTGCAGTGTTCAGTGACAGGTGTTTCTGGGTAACAGAGAAGTCTCAGGCCAATGACATGACAACATCCTCACTCAGCAAATATCTGCTTAGTACCTACTACGCGCCCACCACTGTTGCAGGTATTGAGTGTGTAGCGGTAGGCAAGGCAGAGACCATCCCTGCCCCTGGGGGCTGGTGCGCCAGGTGGGGCAGACGACAGGGAGCAGCCAAATGCAGCAGGAATGCCAGTCCTAAGTGCCGTGAAGGAAGAGACAGCGAGATATGGAGGTGAGCCCTGGAGGGCTCACACCGAACTGGGAGGTCAGGAGAGCCTCCTTGGGGAAAGGACTTCTTTTTTTTAATGTTGTTTTTTTTTTTTTTATTTTTGAGAGAGAAAGAGATAGAGACAAAGCATGAGCAGGGGAGGAACAGAGAGAGGGGGAGACACAGAATCCAAAGCAGGCTTCAGGCTGTGAGCTGTCAGCACAGAGCCCGACATGGGGCTTGAACCCACTGACAGGAGATTGTGACCTGAGCCGAAGTCGGACGCTTACCCGACTGAACCACCCAGATGCCTAAGAAAAAATTTATGTAGGTGAATTTCTCAATCCTTCTCATGTGGCTCCTGAATTTTCAATTACAGTTAGAAAGATTTTCCCACTATAGAGGTTGTTAAAAAAAAAAAAAAAGAAAAGAAAAAAACCAAACATATTTTTATTTAGTTTTCTAGGGTTTTTAGTTTTTTGTTTTTTCTTATTTTACACTGAACTCTTTGACTTGTTTGGGTTTATCCTTAGGGTGCAATGAAGGTTCCAAGTACATTTTTGTTCCCAGTGGCCACCCAGATGTCCGCTGTTCATTCACTGACCCACAAAAGTTTTAAAATTTGATAAAGTCTGATTTATTTATCTTTGCTTGCTTGAGCTTTTGGCGTTATATCTAAGAAATAGTTGCCTAATCGAAGGCCAGAAAAGTTTCCCCCTGTGTTTTCTTCTAAGAAGTTTATATATCTAGCTCTTATATTTAGGTCTGATCCATTTTGAGTTAGGTTTTTTTTTTTTAATTTTTTAATGTTTTTTAAAATTTATTTCTGAGAGAGAGAGAGAGAGACAGTGTGAGCAGGGGAGGGTCAGAGAGAGAGGGAGGCACAGAATCTGAAACAGGCTCCAGACTCTGAGCTGGCTGTCAGCACAGAGCCCGACGCGGGGCTCGAACCCACGAACCGTGAGATCATGCCCTGAGCCGAAGTCAGACGCTCAACCGACTGAGCCACCTAGGCGCCCCGAGTTAATTTTTTTACACACGCTGTGAGTTGAGGTCCACATTTGTTCTGTCTCCTGTGGGTCTCTCCCCACCAAATGGTCATGGTGCTCTTGCCAAATGCCAATTAGGCCAGGAAGTAGGGGGTTATTTCCGCACTCCCAGTTCTATCCCGTTGATCCGTATATCTAACACCACTGACTGTATCGCCCGTCTTTTCTACACCGGTCTGAGACACCAACTCTGTCGTAGACCCAATCCCCAGTCTGTTTCTGGGCTTTCTGTTTTGTTTCATTGGTTTATTCACGTGACTGACCCCCCACAAGATTGTAAGCCTGGGAGGCCTCTGATCAGATTCACATTCTTCTAAGACCATCCAGGCTGTAGAGGGGAGAACAGATTTTGGGAAAAGGAAGAGGGAGGCAGGGAGGCCACTCGGCACAGGCTGGTCAGTCTCCAGAACAGAGGTACCGAGGCTCGGCCAGGGTGTGGCGGGGTAGTTGAGAAGCTAGTCATATGTTTGCCGTGTCTGCTCCTAACCTCCCTGCTCTCTGTCTCAGGGGCTGGAGGAAGAAGAAATCCGGGATCAAAACTGATGCAGAAAACAGGGCTCGAGCCCTGATTCGGGAGGAGTTCGAGAACCTGGGGCCCATCAAGTGCGTGGTATGGGGTTCCTGGGGTGGAGAGAGAGCCCAGCATAGACCACTTTCAGGAGAGTTACCTCCTGGCCTGACCACTGGACCCCCTAGGGGCTGAGTCCCGGGCTGGGGTGGGAGAGGGGGAGTTTCAGGACAATGGGAGCCTAGAGGAGGGTAGGAAGGTGGTTTACACAGTCAGCCTCTTGCCCTGGTGCCATGCAAACACCCTGAGTTCCAGGGAGCCCCTTGGCTTTTAGTTGGGGGGGATCTGCTGCCATTCCAGCTAAAGCACCCCTTCCCTTCCGGCATACGGGGTCCCCAACACTGCCTCGGGCAGCTACTGGGACCTTTTTGAATGCACGTTTCCCATGTGGTGAAAATGCCTAGGAGTCAGGGAGCCTGCACCCCACAGTGACTCTTTCACCAACTTCCTGTGCAGCCCGGGGCAAGGCACTAACCCACTCTGAGCCCCACTCCCCAGTCCATTGCGTAGACATGCACGTCTGACTGTTCCGCTCTTGCTCACCTATTGGCTCTTTCCTGCTTTTCTGCCTCTGCCTCTGTTTTGCTCTTTCTTTCTTGCTGATGATTCTCCTGCTCCCCCAACCTCGGGAAGTCCCCAGTGGGAATGATATAAATAGCTTGGAGGGTGGTGGTGTTTGATGCTCAGGATGGACCCTGGGAGAGTGTGGAAGCCCCTGGGCAGGAATCCCTTACACCCCAGGGTAGCCTTCCCCTCACTCTGGGGAGTGAATGATCTCCTGCAGCTTCTTGGAGGCAGGGCCTGGGCCCATCACAGCCAGCAGGCACCTGCCGAAGGCCCTCCCAATGCTGTGCTCCCCCCAAAGCCCACCATCACCGTGGCGCCTGCCTGTCTGTGCCACAGGTTTGCTGAGCAGGCCGTGTTCGCCCTTTTCTGCATGTTCGCCATCCTCCTCTTCTCGCGGGATCCGAAGTTCATCCCCGGCTGGGCCAGCTTCTTCGCCCCTGGGTGAGACTCGGGGGACCCTGGGGTGGAGAGCAGTGCCGTGGGGGGCGAGGAGGGGCCTGGGCTGGGTGTGGGCCCTTCGTCCCACGTAACTATACACAGCTCCGTCCTGTGCCCTCAAAAGACTTTAGGTTCTGATGATAAGACATTTGAAGCTCTCAAAGGAACTTTGCCTTTGGAATCAGACAAAATTGGTTCAAACGCCAGCCCGGCCACTTACAAACTACACAACCCTGAGATCACCGTTCGCTCATGCATTCACCCACTAGTTTGTTCGTTCAGTGAGTCAACATTTATTGGGCACCTGTTATGTGCCAGACATGATGCTGGCAGCGTCAGACGGGACCAAGTGGGTAGATGATCGAACCCTGCAGACTGTGTTGGGTGCCGAGGAAGAAAGAGCCAGAAGAAGCAGGGGGTGGAGGTATTGACATCATGTAGTTCTGGGCGGACGCAAAGGTTAAGAAGAGCACAGGTTAGAACCAGAGACATGCTGGGATTGTCTACTGAGAGCCTGAGGTGGGAACTAAGCGTGTCTGAAGGACCGAAAGAAGCCCGGTGTGACGCAGCTCTGATGGGCAGGGGGGAAAGTTGGCCAGACATGGCAGAAAGGGCGGGCGAGAGCCAGGTCACAGAGAGTCTCGTGGGACATGTAAAACATTTAGGTCTTTTCTGTGTGCGAGAGAGCAGTGGGAGGCTCAGTGCCTCAGTTTTGTCATCCGTAAAATGGTATTCTAATAGTGCTGTTCTCATTGGACTGCCCCAAGGATAAATGAGTTAGTGCATGTCAAATGATTAGAATGGCACATGGAAAGACCTCAATAAAATATTAGCTCTACTTATAGGGGATGGATAGAGGGGGACAGTGAGGGGCTCTAACACCCTCTGGATGATCCCCGTCATCTAGGACGGGGACAGGAAACAAAGACTCATGGGCCAAGGCTGGCCTGCCACTTGGTTTTGAATGGCTTTTACATTTTTAAATGGTTAAAAATCAAAATACAAATGATATCTGTGACACATGAAAACTATGACATTTAAACGTCGGTGTCTGCAAATAACGTTTCACTGGGACACAGCCACACCTGTTCATTTACGTGTCGTCTGCGACTGCTTTCACACTGCAGCGTCCAAGCTGAGTCGGGACAGAGACTGTGTGGCCTGCAAAGTCAAGGGTATTTACTGTGTGGCCCTTTACAGATGCCACCCCCGAGCCCTGGTCTGGGGAAAGGCCCAGACGGCACATGTACACGTGGTAGCGTTGGAAATGCAGCAATCAAGATCCATTTCGAAGTTAGAAATGGTAGCACCTGCTGCCGAGTCGGATTTGGGGACCCAAGGGAAGGAGCGTCTGTATAGGTGGTGGTTAGTTGGAGAAGAGGCCGCAGGTGGCTTCTCAAGGATTCTATCTTGAACTTGGGTTACACTTGTCATCAAGTCGAATATGTCTTTCAAATACTGCAACAGGCCGTTGGAGGCATAAGCCCAGAAGTTCAGAGGAGGTGTTGGGTTGCAGATATAAATCTGGGAGTCATCATATAAATTTGGAATTTAAGTCCATAGGAATTGATGGGCCCAGCTAGGGAAAGAGTTAGGAGCTGGGTGGAGGAGAGAAAAGGGGGAAGCAGTCAGGGGGGTAAGGTGGAAAACTTGGAGCAACCAACCAGCAAAGGCCAAGAGAGGAAGACATTGTAATGGAGAGTGAGTCAGATTCTGGTATGTCGGAACATGATTGCATAGGAAGTACCTCCTCCGGACTTGGTGAGATCTGACGATTTCCATCAGCACCATCCAGTAGAAATATAACGTGAGCCTCCTACATAATATTATATATTATGTAACTTTTCAAGTTTTAGTAGCCACATTTAAAAAGCCAGGAGAAACAATGAAATCAATTTTAGCAAGCTCTTTCACTTAAACCAGTACGTTATTTCAACATGCAATCTATACATGAAATTATTGACATAGTTTACCTTTTTTTCCATACTAAGTCTTCAAAATCTGTGTATTATAGTTGCAGCCCATCTAAGTTTGGTCAAGCATCCACTAGCCACGTGTGGCTGGTGGCTACCATTTGGATAGAGCAGCTCTACACATTAGTGTTGAAGCCTCAGACTGCCCCTTGGTGAAATGGGCGATACAAAGTTCTGACCTCGTGTGGGTTGTTATAAGGAAGAAATGATGTCATTTCATGGAGCCGAGAGGAGCCATTGTCTTATGTTTCCAAAATGTAGATGCTTTGCTATTTTTCTCAGATGAAAAATGGGTGTTGTAAACATTCCAACAACACAAAGAAAATGAAAATCACCTAAGACCCAGTCTCCAATTCCAATACACATCTTTCCTGACTTAAAAATGCCTGTCCGAGAACCGTTCTACATCTTAACCACATGGGTAGTTACAGCACCGTACACATCAGCCCAAACTCAAAAGTATACTATTCTTTAGATGGGCGCATTTGATTGCATGTTAATTATACTTCAGTAGAGCTAATTATAAAAATATATGCAAACTAGCTCAAAAGAAACGTATCGAAACAAGATTTTTTTTTAACAGAAACGTGAGTACAGTGGACATATCATTTGTGATCTGCTTTGTTTCTTTTTTGTCTAACCATAAAAGTTATGCATACTTACAAAAAATTCAAACAATGCTGAATTGAAGAAGGAAAAGTGACTCTTCAGTTCACCTCTGTAAATGAAGAGAGTATCACAATTAAAATTTGGTGTCTGTCATATCTGATATGTACACGCACTTACCCACGAGAGTGTGTACACGCAGACATGTATGTATACATATTACAAAACTGGGAGAGTACAGTAATAAGATCCTGACCTACTTCATTCTTTTTCAACGCTCCATAGTATTCTATAGAAGGAGAACATCTTAATTTATTTAATCAATTCCTTTTGGATTGTGTCTAATACTGCAAATAAAAACTTTTCATTTTATTTGCAAGATACCTTTATTGTACTTCGATGTCAATGCCTAAAGGTTGATATTATCTTATATCTTTAAAAAAATGGGCATTTCACTACAGACATGCTATTATATACACATTATTGTACACAGTTTAGTTACACGTGTCTGTACTAAAAAAATCACATGTCTTTTTTTTTTACTCTTACCCATAATGAACATCCCTCTACATAATTTGTGTATAAGAGTCCAGTTTCCCTGAGGATAAATTCCTAGAATTACAATCGTTGGATCAAGGGGCATTTACATGTATTGAAGCATGTCACCAGCTGCCCTCCAGAAGGTTAAACCGATTTATTTTCACACCCCCAGTATATGCTTTCCAGCGTCCGCATTAGATATTATCATCAGCCTTTCAAGTTCTGCCTGTTAGCAGAAAAATGATACTCCATCAGCATTTTGGTTTATATTTCTCAAATACAGTGGTAGTGGCCATCCTTTCCAGTTTCTTGGTCACTTGAATGCTCTCCAAATGTGTGGCCTAAAAGGGCTTTTGTTGGCATTTGGCTCTGTGCTTCAGAGCTTGGAGCCAGATGCCTCTGGGCTCAGGGCCTGTCTGCGGCCCGGGCCACGGCCTGGCCTCGAGCATGCTGCTGCTGCTGCTCTCTGAGCCTCAGGTTTTCTTATCTGAGATAGAAGCTGTCTGCCCCCGAGAGACCTCTGTGAGCTTGATGTGTCCCCAAGAGGCGATGTGGATCCTTGAGAGGCAGTAATTAGATTTTGCGGTGCTCTGAGGCACCCCCATCTGGTTTCCACTGGTGCGAATGGGCCGCACCTCTGAGTAGTGAGCTCCCCATCCCGGGAGGAATGCCGGCAGAAGCTGAAGACATACACAGCACACTCTCAGAGAAGCCCTGGTCACGGGACCCATAGGAATTCCTCAGATCCGGTATTCGGTGCTGCTCAGATCCGTCTTTGGCCAGGGCTCTCTTCCCGGCAGGATAAACATTGGGCTCAGCCGGCATCTGAGGATCCGGGGAGCCGTGCATAGTGGGCTTTTGCCCCACGGACAGTTGGTCCCTGCCGGGCACAGGGAAGACGGTATCCCGAGGCCTGGAACAAGGTCCCCCTCACGGCGAGCTCCCAGTTCCCTCCCACAAATCCTCAGTGGCAGATCTGCTGAACTCTGGGCCTGCTGCGATGCCCCCGGGGTCACATGCTTTGGGGCCTTGTCATTGTAGGTTTCTTTCTGATGCTGTCACTGGAGTGGCCATTGTCACCATCTTGTTCTTCTTCCCGTCCCAAAGGCCCTCTCTCAAGTGGTGGTTTGACTTGAAAGGTAAGGCGTCAAGGCTGGGGTCTCAGTGGGTTCAGTGACGGCCGAGGCTCCAAGTGTGGTAATCAGTGGCCCGGAGGCAGGGCCCACGCCTGGGACCCAAGCCCCGTCGTACTAACCTGCTTCTTCCCTTCCCTCCGAGCTGTTCCCTTGTCTGGGCGTGGGGGCTGCCGCGGGTGATGGGCCGGGGCGGGAGGTAGCAAGTGCAGCCGGTCCGGTCCAGCTGGCCGGCCGCTTTGTGCAGCCCACGAGCGAAGAACAGCTTTGACGTTTTTTAATGGTTGAAAAGAATCAAAAGAAAACTATTTCATGACACGGGAACATCACATGGACTCCAAAGTTCAGTGTCCATAAATAAAGTTTATTTCTTCAATAAGAAATTTGCGGACATTTATTCTCCTTAGTTATATACAAAGTAACCTAGATTTGGCCTCTTGGCTCACAAAACCCAAAATATTCACTTTCTGGCCCTTTTATAGGAAAACTGTGCTGCCCGCGGGCCCGAGGCTGGAGCTGTGGCTCAGTTGCCCATGGGGCAAAGCTCTCCAGCCAGGTTTCAATGGTAGGAAGTGCTAGAGATGGAGGCACGTCTACCTAACGGCATCTCGGGTCAGTTTAAAAGGACACTGAGGGGCGCCTGGGTGGTTTAGTCGGTTAAGCGTCCGACTTCCGCTTAGGTCATGATCTCACGGTTCGTGGGTTCGAGCCCCGCGTCGGGCTCTGTGCTGACTGCCAGCTCAGAGCCTGGAGCCTGTTTCAGAGTCTGTCACTCCCTCTCTCTCTGACCCTCCCCCGCTCACGCTGTCTCTCTCTCTCTCCTAGAAATAAATAAAACATTTAAAAAAAATTAAAAAAAAAAGAAAAGGACACTGAACCCTCCGAACGGGCCTTCAGATGGCCAATTTGTGACCCTGCTGGGTTGGTCCCCAGCAGGCTACCCCCTGTGACAGAGGCCACTTCACTGGGGCCAGTGGGATGAGCTCCCCACCAGGAGTCAGGAAATAGGGTCGTCATTTATTGTCTATCGTTGAAAAAATAGTAGAGTAATAGGTGGGTTAGCTCCTCTTTCGGGGGCCGGGGTCTGAGGGTGCCGCATCACGTAAGGAGCAGTAGAGAGCCGATTTCACGGGGCCCCAGAAATGGTTATAGCAACAGAGCAAACACTGGGTCCAAGGAGCCTCCACGAATCGTGGACTTTCGGACCCCGCGAACGGGCAGGATTCGTCTCTGCTCCTTTGTCTTGCTTCCCACTGGCTTTCCCCATCACCCCCTCCGGGTACCACGTGCTGACCTCTCCAGAGTTCTCCTGCTTCTGCGCTTTGGACTCTTTACAGCCTCCGCTTCTTTATAGTTCCTGCTTTTTATATAGATATATACCTTCGGCTCCCTTAGGGTGTCTCCTCCCTCGTAATGCCCACCTTTGCGGGGCGTCAACAACCACAGCTTCCTGCCTCCTCCCTCCCGGCGCACTCACGTCCCCCCTGCCTGCGCCTGCCACTGTCACTTCTGCGCACCCACTGTCCCTCCCCGCCCTGTGGATCCCCCTCCGGGAGTAAGAAGCTGGTTGGTGTGGCTTGTTCTTGCTCGGGCAGCTCTCCCGCGGGGCCACTGCTTGGCTCCTAGGTAGCTGGCCGGCCTGTGAACTGGCTGCCCTTGATCCAGCCCCATCCAGGGCTCTGTCACCTGGGGTGGGGGGGGGTTGCTGGAAAAGCCCAGAGCTTCCTGTCAGCGGGGGCTGTGGGGAGGGCACTGGGGCATTGGGATGTGGGTGTCTGGTATCCCAGCTCTGCTACTGGTTTGCTGGGTCACCTGAGTAAGTTCCTAGGATGCCTGGGCCTTCCTTTTCTTTCTTCCTTTTTTTTTTTTTTCTTTTTTCAAAATTTTTAAAATGTTTATTTATTTTTGAGAGAGAGAGAGATGAAGAGAGAATGGGAGTGGGGGAGGGGCAGAGAGAGAGAGAGAGAGCGAGACACAGAATCCAAAGCAGGCTCCAGCCTCTGAGCTGTCAGCACAGAGCCCAGTGCGGGGCTCAAACTCATGGACTTGGAGATCATGACTCGAGCCGAAGTTGAACACTCAACCAACTCAGCCACCCAGGTGCCCCTGGGCCTTCCTTTTCAACTTAGAGAATGAACATGTCCCCTAGACACCTTTCACCTCTGGCTTTGGTGTCTTTCTAGAACAGGGGATGCAAACCAAATGCCCACAGGGAGGTAAACATTTTGGATGCAGCAGATCAGGGGCAGGAAAACGGATTCCATGAAACCCGGCCCTCCCTGTCCATCTTCCCTTTTGCATTTTTGAAAGAGACCAATATTGGGGCGCCTGGGTGGCTTAGTCAGTTAAGCGTCTGACTTTCGCTTAGGTCATGATCTCGCGGTTCGTGGGTTCGAGCCCCGTGTCAGGCTCTGTGCTGACTGCCAGCTCAGAGCCTGGAGCCTGTTTCAGTCTGTGACTCCCTCCCTCTGACCCTCCCCTGCTCGCGCTATCTCTCTCTCTCTCCTAGAAATAAATAAAACATTAAAAAAAAGAAAAGAAAAGAAAGAAAGAGACCAATATCTGTATCATGGGGAAAACAGCAACTGAGGATGGTCGTCAGTGGCAAGACCCTCCACATCAGGGCACTGCGGGCTCTGTGGAAACCTGGCAAGCCAGTACCTTTGAAATAAAGGGGCAGCTGTGACTCAGTTTCCACCAAGCATCACCATGCAGGAGAGCAGGACTGGTTTCCCCAGATTTGCTGACCTTTCAAGGGAAGCACAAAATTTTATGCAATGTCCCTGATTTTAAATGTCGGCAACTAATTTCAGTGGGAAAACATGGTGTGGGCCGACAGTAATCCTCAAACGCATCTGGGAGTTGGGTCTGGTCCTTGGAGGGTACTTTGGGCTGGAGTGTCCGGGGCTGCCTGCTGGGTGGGGAGAGGGGACTCCGTGAGCACTACCCGTCCTGGGGCTGCTGGTGGCCCCGTGCAGACTTGGCTGACGTGATACAGTCCAGCACTCAGGACTTCCGCGGAGCCTGAGAGAGGGGCCAGTTTCCATGGAGGGCAAGTGACTTGATCAAGGTCACATGGCTAGCTACACAGAGACAGTAGGTAGAACCCAGGCATCCGGGCCAACTGTGATTTTCTGATGATACCTGCTGTCTTCCATTCTTCCCTGGGTCGGAGTTGCCCTTGTATTTCTGACCCTTTATGGTCACTCAGCAAGTACAGATGTGATGCCTACTGTGCGCTGGGCGCTGTGCTTGTGGATGGCGATGAGGATGATGGCAGTGGTGACTTCCGTTTCCTCTCTGCCCACCAAGCTCTTCCTCCAGATATCGCATGACTCATTCCCATCACTCCACTCAGACTCCGTCTAAATGTCACCTCCCCAGAGAAGTCTTCCCTGACTACACTGTCCAGAAGAACTTCCCTCCCTTGTCACTCTCCACCTCTCTACCCTATTTTCTTGCCTTCATAAGACGTTACATATCCTAACATGGTATATTGACTGGTTTCTCACCACCTCCCTTCCTGGAATGTTAAGTTCTCCAAGGAGAGGGATTTTTTTTTTTCTGTTTTGGCTGCTTCTGAGTCCTCAGTGTCTAGAAGAGTGCTCAACACATGACACGTCCTCAATAAACATGTGTTATTGCTCGGGGCCACACCCGGAGCTGAACCCTTTGTACACGTGAGCCCATTTCCTCTCCCCAGTGGGTCTCTGAAGAGGTGCCATTGCTGCCGTTTGCAGCTGAGGACACTGAGGCTCAGAGACGTAGAGTCACTAGCCCAAATCACACAGCCGAACAGCAGAGCTAGGATTCAAATCTAGTTCAGATCGGGAGCCTGCTCCAGAGAACTCGCAGGCATAGAACGGGGCTGGGAGTGTGAGAGTCACATAGCTGGAGGCTGTGCTTTTAAGAAACAGCAGCAAGGTCATGATTGGAAGGGAAAATAACGAAGACAATCATAGAAGGTCCAGTGCAGCAGGTGGCCTCGTTTGCACTAACCACGCACCTCATTTAATCTGCATGATGTTAAACCCTTGGTCAAGGCCCACTAGACCCACCCTTTCCTCCCATGTGGGGAGGTGCCTTTGCTTTTTCAGACCTTGCCTGCCTCTTTAATGAAATTATACTTCATTGCCTAAAGGCAGAGGACTGAGTCACCCAAGATCTCCAGCTCTCGTCTTAGATAATCACAGTGTATAATTTGGAAAAGGCCAAAAAAGAAGAAACAAAATGTCAATGCTCATGTGACTCAGGAATTGTCCTGGGAAGGTGGGTGGGAACCACCATGCACGTCCTCGCGCCTCCCTGGCAGCCACCCGCACGGACAGTTTCGTTTCTAGAGTGTTCACTCTGCACCAGGCACGGGACTAAGCAAGTCACACACCATCAGCTGACGAGCATTTTGGAGTCCACGCCAGGTGCCAGGCAGCGACGCTGGGACTTGGCCGTGAACTAAACAGGACCCTCTCTGTCTCCACCAGCAGCTGAGCATTACCTCCTCAGTGTTCACGAGGGCCCCTCCAAGGGACTGTCTCCGCGCCACGTGTCAGCTGAGGAAATGGGCGCTCAGACGGGCGAGGTCACGTTCAAGGGCGTGCAGTGAGCCAACGTTCAGAAGGGTCCGTCTCCAGGCCCTTGCTCCCACCACAGGGCTGGCAAACCTCAGCCCACGGGCCAGATGCACCCCTGCCCTTTCTAAGTAGGACTTCCTGGGGACATCGCCCTGCCTGCTCGCCGATGTTCTCGTCTGTGTCTGCTCACACGCCGACCCTTTACAGAAGTTTGCTGTTCCCCGTTCTAACCAGTACATGCAGACACTGCCGCTTTTATAAAGATAAAAGTCATCCCGTAATTCCATGAACCGAGGAGACCCTTAGTTTCTCGGTTCTTGAGGTTCCTTCCACTTTTTCCCTCTCCGTACACATTCACTTACAAAAAAGAGCCTTTTCTCTTGCAGATGAGGATGAAAGCAGCACGTCTGCAGAAGAGGTTCTGGGAAATTGAAAGGATGTCTGGCATGTATAGAGTTGGGTGGGAGGGGACTGCTTCCAGAAGGTTCTCAGGCCGTGGGAGCTGTGACAATTATTTTCCATCTGAATAGAGCAGATGCCGGGCACAGTGTTCGTGGGGTTTTCCCCTAAAGCTCCAAAATCAGATGCTGGAGCCAGACTGTGGCTCCTTGGGGACCCCCCCCCGGCACCAGGGTCCCCACAAAGATAGGACTGCAGGGGACCCTGACCCTTCCTCAGGCTTAGCATCCTGAGTATGTGTCAGGCCCCCCTCTGCCCAGCGGAGACCCGTGTCCCCCCTTCAGCCTGAGTGTCTTGTCTCCACGCAGCTTCGAACACAGAGCCAGAGCCCCTGCTGACATGGAAGAAGGTCCAGGACACGGTGCCCTGGAACATCGTCCTTCTCCTGGGAGGGGGCTTCGCCATGGCCAAGGGCTGTGAGGTAAGAGCCGCAGGTGGGCTGCAGGCCTGGGGAGGGGGCGCAGGTCCTAGCCGCAGCTGCAGCCGCAGGGTCAGGGCACTGGGGCCACGCAGCTGCCCCAGATTCCTCGTTTACCAGCCTGGGGTAATCGTGGCTCCTACCTCCCAGCACCTTACTCAGTGCTGGGTGCTGTGCAAAAAAAGAGGAACAAGGTGTGATCCGGATTCTCAAAGAGCTCACGACGAGCACACTACTCCTAACTACTGCTGCTGCTGCTGCTACTATCATGGCGGGGGGGGGGGGGGGGGGGGGGGGGGGGGGGGGGGGGGNGGGGGGGGGGGGGGGGGGGGGGGGGGGGGGGGGTGTGGGGGTGTGGGGTGGCGGGGAGCTGGTTCCGCGAGCGCAGAGGAATCACACCGTCTTGGGCTCACCCCCGGCCAGGCACCGCTCCACGTGCTTTACACACATGAACTCACGTAAACTTCCCAACAAGACTCGGGGGTGGATGTCATTATCATCCCCATTCTATAGATTAAGAAACTGAGGCACAGAGAAGGAAAGTAACTTGCCTCAAGTCACACAGCTGTGTACTCAGGATTAGAATCCAGGTAGTTTGATGCCACAGCTTATGCTCTTAACCAGTGTGTTATGAATGCTAGATATCATTCATATTGATTAGTGTTATTACGAATGTCATTCTAGAGGGCTCTGGGAGCAGGGACTGTGGCGGGGGGAGCGTAGAATTTCAGGAGACGCTTGCTCTCAGAACGTGCAGGTGCCGTGTCAGCAGGCCCCACTCAGAGGAAGCGCCGGCCAGTGCTGTCTCATCAAACACTCACCCTGACCCTAGGGGCGAGATAATAGTTGTATCCCCATTTTACAGGCAGGAAAACCGAGGCATGGAAAAATTAAGCAACTTTCTTAAGGTCACACAATTGCATTCTGCACAAAAGGGAGGGTTCCAACTCCAGTCAGTCCCCCTTCAGAGTCCCTCCTCCTAATGGCTCGTTTTGAAGAACTCCCAAGAACGGGTTTTGCTTCAAGCACTTTGCAAATAAGGACTCCGTTAACCTTCATCAACGCCACTGAAGTAGATGCGATTGCTTGTCCCCATTTCATAGATGAGGCAACAGAGGTAACACGAGGCTAAACAGCTAGCCTGTGTCTGTGCACCCAGGAGATTTTTGGAGCCGGGATTTGAACCCCCAGCTCATGTGCTGGGTCCCACCCCACCCCTAAATCTCTCCTTGTAAGCTGAGGCATTTAAAACCACAACCAGTTAAGGGCTGATCTGAAATTAAGATGAAGGAAACCTGAAATTGCCTCTCTGATTGCTTTCTTTCTTTTTTTTTTTAATGTTTTATTTATTATTGAGAGAAAGAGAGAGACAGAGTGTGAGCAGGGGAGGGGCAGAGAGAGAGGGAGACACAGAATCTGAAGCAGGGTCCAGGCTCTGAGCTGTCAGCACAGACCCCGATGCGGGGCTTGAACTCATGAACCTCGAGATCATGACCTGAGTGTAAGTCGGACGCCTAACCGACTGAGCTACCCAGGCGCCCCCCCCCTTTTTGTTTCTTAATGTTTTATTTGCTTTCTTTCTTTAATTCAATCTTAATTTTCAGTTTCAAACAGTGATTCGATCTATGACATCCATAAGGTATACACTAGTAAGAAGCCTCAGCTTGAGAATCCAAGTATCTGGATTCCAATCCCAGCTCTTCCACTCCGTGCTGCTGCACTTTGGGCAAGTTTCTAAACCTCTCTGGGCACCATCCATCTATGAATTGGATGACAGTGCGTACTGTCTGGGGTTGTTGGAAGCATGAACTACCCCGGAGCTCTCTCTGAATCCCCGTTCCATGGCTGTGGTGGGCTGTGCTCCAGGGAGCAGACTCCGAGATGGAGATGAGTGAGCAGGGGTATTAGCTTGTGCCCTCAGGGTGCCCCCCCACCCCGTGGAAAGGGGAGGAAGGAAGCAGGAGAGGGCAGGGGGATGCACAACTGTGAGGCAGACCCCACAGGGAGCACGGAGCTGAGCTGGCCCCTCAGAGACGCGCCGATTGGTCCGAGATGGCCAGGCCATATCCCGGCATCCCTCCGTCAGTCCGCGCCCGTGAGCGTGACCTTGGGCAAGACGACTCCTCGGCCTCAGCCAGCCCCTCAGGGGATGACGGTGAAGGCGGCTTCAGCTCGCTGTCCCTGTGCTGGGGCAATGGGGCCTCCGGAGTCCGGAGTGCTAAACCATCACACCGTGGCACCCACAAGGCTGACGGTCAGCTGAGTGGCATATTCAGGTTCTTCTTTTTATGGCACATATTTTTATTTTACCCATTTTCCCCCAACAAATAACACGCACAAATACAATAGTATAGACTCCAAAAGGAGCAAATGGACGGTTGAGCAAAAGTACTGTTTTTGTCTCCAATGTAGGAATCTTGAGGACCAGAGAGGTTAATTGACTGATCCGAGGTAACACAGCTTGTGGGTAGCATAGCTGGGATTTGAACTCCTGTCTTGACTTTTCTCACTGCCTCATTACTGCCTCCTACTGGGGAATGCATCAGGGAAGGCTTCCTGGAGGAAGTGGCAAGTCATCCGGGTCCTGAAGAGGCCATGCAATGCAATGGGAAAAAGCAAGGGCTGTCACACCAGACTGTCTGGGGTGGAGATGCTGGTCTTGGACCTCAGCTGTGTGTTTCAGTTTCCTCATCTGTAGAATGGGAATAATAATGGGGCCATGCCACAGACCTGTTACAATTATTAAATGGGTCGATGCCTGTGGAGAACTTAAAACACAGCCAACACAGTTGGTTATGATCGTTGAATGTGGGGGGAAAGGGGAAACAGAGTCAGGGGTTTCACAGAGGTTCTTGCCTGAGCAGCTCGGTGGAAATGGTGCCATTTACCGAGGGGACGTGAACCTTGCCTGACCCTGAGGTCATCTCTGCCCCAGAGGCTTCTCTGAGCTTGGGATGTGCTGGGAAAAGTCCCGGCTCCCAGTGGGGGCTGGGCTGTGGGGCCGCTGGCCGCGCTGGGAGGTCAGTCTGGCTCCTGGCTCGGCCCGGGGCAGCCGCTGGCCTTTCTGTTCAACAAGGCCTTTGTGTGGCAACCTCCCGTGTCCTCCATCCCCAGCCGGTACCATCCCCTGCCAGGCCAGCGCGGCCTCTGCCCCAGGAGGGACCGCAGCGCTCATGGCACACCCTGCTTCCTGGCCCCTGCCCTGTGCCCTCTCCAGGCCACAGCCAGGCCTCCTGGGCTTACAGGTCCTCCGATGGGGTCCAGGGTGAGCCTGGGTCAGAAGGGCTGGATGCAGACCCCAGCGCTTGCTTTGAGCCTGAGCAACTCACTTAAACCTGCTTAGTGTCCTTACTGCACTTTTCTGCTGTAAAACTGCCCACGACTCCCCATTTTTATTTAGACGCTAGTCTGAAGGTTTCTTCGGCCTACACACAGAGCCCAGCACGGCCCGGCGCCCCCCTGCCTCCCCGCCGTCGGCTCCTACCTCTCCCCCCTGATTGGCTTCCCTCCAATCCCGCTGGCCCCTTCATGTTCCTCAGCAACGCTAGACTCATTTACACCCCTGGACCTTTGCACCTGCTTTCTTTCTGCCTAATGCTCTTCCCTGAGATTCCTGAGTCCTGGTCCTTTGGGTAATTTCCAAGGTCACCAATTCAGATCCCACCCCCCACCCCGCCGGTACTCCATCTAAAGCAGTCTCCCTATTATCAACCCACCTATTTCCTTCCCATCCCCTTCCCCCAAATTATCCTGTTCATGTGTTGGTTGCTGTCTCTCTTACTAGAATGTAAGCGCCATGAGGGCAGGGATCAGATATGTCTTATTCGCTACTGTCCTGGCATCTAGAAGAGTCCTGGTACATAACATGCTCAATACATATTTGTTGGACATGACCCGTAAGACGGGCTGCTTTGAGCACTGCTGATGTGATGTGTGAAAAGTGCTGGAAAGTGCACAGGGCTGATGCATACTAGGTGCTAAAACCAGGGCCGCCTTCAACCTTAGTACTTTCATTGTGAATACAGTTTTACTAGCTCATGGATTGAAAAATTGGTCTTCTTCTGGCACCTTTAAGCGTATCTCATTTAATCTCCATCAAAATAAACATATCTACAAATATATTGAGGTTATAGGAGCTTGAGAGTAAGTCAGAATGGAGCAAACCCTGTGGGCAGACAGCGGTGCATATATTCTCCCTGGCCCTCGTTTTCTGCTGGAGAGTCACCTTGATGATGATGATGATTGTGATGATGGTGATGGTGATGGTTATTGTGATGATGGTGATGGTGGTGATGGTGATGGTGGTGATAGTGATGATGGTGATGATGGTGGTGATGGTGATGGTGATGATGGTGGTGATGATGGTGATGGTGGTGATGATGGTGGTGATGGTGGTGATGATGGTGATGATGGTGATGATGATGATGATGGTGATGGTGATGGTGATGATGGTGGTGATGATGGTGAAGATGGTGATGATGGTGATGGTGATGGTGGTGATGGTGGTGATGATGGTGGTGATGATGGTGATGGTGGTGGTGATGGTGATGGTGATGATGGTGGTGATGGTGGTGATGGTGGTGATGATGGTGGTAATGGTGGTAATGATGGTGATGATGATGGTGATGGTGATGATGATGGTGATGATGGTGATGGTGGTGATGATGGTGAAGATGGTGATGGTGATGGTGGTGATGGTGGTGATGATGGTGATGATGGTGGTGATGATGGTGGTGATTATGATGATAATGATGATGATGACCGGCACTATCATTTTATTGAAGTTAGCGCTAGGGTCTAAGCTCAAAATCCCAACCCTAGGGCAAATTATTTCACTTACTCAGGCAAATTACCACCTCTGTGAGCCTCAGTGTCTTTAGCCATAAAATGGAGATAATTATGCCACTTACCTCAAGAAGCTACTATGGGAATTGAATGAGATAATATTAGTCAAGCCTTTAGAAGAGTGCCTGACGCAGAGCACACTCCATGTTAAGTGCTTGTTAAGTTAGATAAGTAGTAACAAATCACATCCAGTGCTTACTATGTAGAGGAACTGTGTTGTGCATGGCTGTCTAATCCTTACCACAAGTCCTTGAAAAGAGCAAGGAACAGAGATGTTCATCATTGTGCCTGATGTCACCCGGCTTGTAAGCAGTACAGTGGTCTGAATGTTCACAGCTGTGCATGTAGGCTTCTCGTCTTCCTTTCCTTGAGTCAAGCTCACTGGTTCTCTCTTAGGAATTATTACGCAGAGTCCTATTCACACAGCTGAGCCTCGTGTGTTTTAGGAGGCTCTTAAAGATTGTCAAGTCTCTCCCTTCCCGTCCTGCAACATGGCCTCAGGCACCTCTTGACATCTTTGGAGGCCATAAGGAACACAGTTTGACAACCACTGCACTGGGCAATTTCTGAGTGTTTCCCCTTGTGACCTGAAGCTACTAATGACAGCTGGCATGTGTCAGGCACTCACCAGGTACCCAGGCATTCTCCAAGCGCCTTGTAGATTAGCTCCTTTCCTCCCCACAGTCACCTTCTGGGACAGGCACTGTTATACCCTCATTTACAGATTTTTTTTAAAAATTAAGGCACAGAGAGGTTGAGTTGCTTGCCTGGGACAACACAGCTAGGAAGGGATAAGGTGGGGAACAAGCTCAGTGTGATTCCAGAGCTCTTTCTCCTCATCCTCTGGCCGTACAGCCTCCAACCTTGTTTGTTGCATGATGCCCCCCTGGAATGGAACACCATGGGGCTGCGTGTTTCCAAGGAAACAGAGCTTCGATGCTTAAGGGATTGGGGAAAGGCAAGTGAAGCCCTTTGGAGTCCCCAAGAGAACCCCAGACAGCAGGGGGTCCTGTCGCGGAACCTCCCGGCTGCAGAAACTGAGCCAAGGGCCCCTACGAGCTGGGACCTTGGCCGGAAGCCCGCCACCCAGAGGCCCAGACACTGGGAAGCTTTGGGCTTCTCATTCATCCAAGTCATTAATATTCCCTCTCTCCAGCCTCTCTCCCCGAAATCGCACACACAGCCATCAGTCTCCTAGGAGTGGCCTCTGGGAAAAACCAGTGGCCCCATTTTTTCCTTGCAGGATTCCGCGGGCCAGGAGACGGCTAGGGCCTTGACTCTGCCACTCGCCGTGATTTCTAGGCTATCAAACAGTGCCGAGGTACAGATGTAAAAGAAGTGTGTTAATTTTACAGTCTCTTCTAGAGAAAAATATCTTTAAGCATTTATTATTTGTTCCTTGAAGATAACTTTTAAGTCAAATTCTGGGGACAAGAATTTTATTTAGTATTTTATTTATGAAAAGACATGGGGCGCCTGGGTGGCTCAGTCTCTTAAAGCGTCCAGCTTCGGCTCAGGACATGATCTCGTGGTTCATGAGTTCAAGCCCCGTGTTGGGCTTTGTGCTGACAGCTCAGAGCCTGGGAGCCTGCTTCAGATTCTGTGTCTCCCCCTCTCTCTCTCTCTGCCTCTCTCCTGCTCACACTCTGTCTCTGTCTCTCTCTCTCAAAAATAAACATTAAAAATTTTTAAAAAACAGTATGCTGTATTCTAGAATTCATTATGAAATTCTAAGTTCAAGAGTAAATTTTCAAGAAATATGTAGAGTTTCTTTGAAAAAACTGAAGTGTATTGGTATCAAAGGATACTGGGTTGTGAAAAGGGTTATGGTAAACATTCACTTGATTAAGTATTTGAATACTCCTAAATCCTGGAGAAGTCAGCAGAGAGAGCATGGAGATAATCCTGTAGCACTGATGAGAGGGTAGAGTCTGGAGCCAGGGAGGGGACAATCTAACCCGTCCCTTCTCTGCCCTGGAGGGCTGTCATCAGCTCTGGGCATTACCTTTCATTAAGACGAGAAGTGATGGACGGGTGTATCCAGAGGGTGGTGCCCAAGTGACAGAGAGCTTTGCAGGGCCGTATTAGCTTGCGGAAGTACATGGCCCTGAATGTGAACTACATCTCAGTCGTTACTTTTGGGGACGGCGAGCAAGCCACAGAATCTTTGCCAGGCTCCGTTTCCTCCTCCATAACGCAGGGGCAAAGGGGTCGAGGAGGTACTGCATGCAGGTGCCCAGCAACCTATAAAGCCTTAGTGACAATGACTGTTATGATAATGAGTAACAATAGAGTGTTGTGTTATCATTGTAATAATCATCCTTATCGTTAATCATAGATACTTTGTTATTGATCATCATATTGATAGTGTTGTATTTAATATGTATCTGATACATGTTTTATATATGATATAGTTATAGTATATCTTGTATATATTATTCAACAATAATTGTAGGATTAGTAATGAATATTTCGTATACATAGTTGTGTTAATATTTTTGTTACTAGTAACCATCCACAGAGGGTCCAGTTTCCCTCTCCCACTCAAGTAGGAGCTTAGTGCTAGAGCTAAATGGATTATTTGGGGATCCAGGAGTTTGGGTCCTGGGCCTACAGAGTTGGAGTAGAGAGTAGTTCAAGAAACAAAGAAGTTGGGGCCGCCTGGGAGGCTCAGTTGGTGAGGCGTCCAACTTCGGCTCAGGTCCTGACCTCACAGGTCGTGGGTTCAAGCCCCTCATTTGGCTCTGTGCTGACCGCTGGGAGCCCGGAGCCTGCTTCCGATTCTGTGTCTCTCTGGCCCTCCCCCGCCCACACACCCAAGAATAAATAAACGTTAAAAAAGAAGCAGAAGCAGAGAAGCCGATGCTGGTGGGCTCAAATGTGTGGCCTTGGACGTGTTACTCACCCTCTCTGAACCTCGGTTCCCCCCAGCAGCGAAGGGGCATAGTGGTCACTGCTGCCACCCTGTGGCCCATCCTAACCCCCTTCCTGGGCCCAGCCCCCAGGGGCAGTGGCTGGGGTGGGCCAGGGTGTGACCTGGTGTCCCTCACCCCCGCAGGAGTCAGGGCTGTCTGCGTGGATCGGCGGGCAGCTGCACCCTCTGGAGAACGTGCCGCCCGCACTGGCTGTGCTGCTCATCACTGTCGTCATCGCCTTCTTCACCGAGTTTGCTAGTAACACGGCCACCATCATCATCTTCCTGCCCGTCCTGGCGGAGCTGGTGAGAGTCCTGGGGGGTGGGGGGGGAGGGGACGTGCTTCAGAATTTTCTCTCCCCTGCCACCGGGAGCTGTGGGTGCCATTGCCCTCTTCCAAAATGCGTGAATGTGTTAGACCTTGACTTTTTTATGTTTTTAAAAATTTTTTTATGTTTTGCATTTATTTTTTGAGAGTAAGAGAGACAGAGTGTGAGCAGGGGAGGGGCAGAGAGAGGGAGACACAGAATCCGAAGCAGGCTCCAGACTCTGAGCTGTCAGCACAGAGCCCGATGCCGGGCTTGAACTCACAGACCGTGACGTCATGACCCGAACCGAAGTCGGTCGCTTCACCGACTGAGCCACCCAGGCGCCCCTGATTATTTTTTTTCTATTGATTTTTTTCTTTAAGAAATACATAAATATTTTCCGAAGTGCACCACATTTCTTCCTTTGGAGAGTTTTCTAGGAAATTACAAATTGTCAAATTTGGATTAAGACGTAGAAAATCTGAGCAGACAAAAAAGGGCAGAAGAGAGTCTAACAGCAGGCAAAGTTCTAACCTCCCTCTAAAGAAGGGTTTCTCAGCACTACCGATATTTGGGGCCAAAGAGCTGCCTGTGGTGTGGGGCTGTCCCGGACACCGTAGGGTGTTCGGTGGCATTCCTGCCCCCCTCCCCCCGCTCTGTGCCAGCCAGTAGTATCCTCTAAACCATGACAATCAAAAATGTGCCCAGACATTGCCAAACGTCCCCTGGTCGGGGCTGGGGGACAAAACCATCCCTGGCTGAGAACCACCGCCCTAAAATTCACCAGCCAGCCCTCAGAGGCTTAGCTAGGTGAAAGCTAGCAAACCTTCAAAGGGCAGATAGCTCCCACCTTATTCAAACTATTTCAGAGCACAGAGATGGAGAATGTCATTCCACCCAGGGATGAGGGTAGCAAATCCCAGACACTAAAACCAAAGGACAGCAGGGGCAGGTGGCGGGGGTGTGGGGGGATCATAAATCAACCTCACATGTAAACAGAGATGCAAATAGCAAAATAAATCTGGGATCCTACAGAAAGAACAATGCATCATGATCAAACAGAGTGTATATTAGGACTTTCAAAACTGACTAGCATTAGAAACAATCGGCTTGGTTCTGTGTTTAAATAGATTAAAGAAGACTTAGCCAAACGATTATCTCAATAGAATCCAAAATTGATCAGATTAAATCAGTGCTGCAACTACACACTTTGTATGCAGACGGCGATCTACCAGACACACTTATCATGTGTTTTTGGCTTTTGTAGGCTCATTTCAGTTTGTCATGGGGTTCACACCTGCATTAGCATCCGGAGATGTACTTTATCCTGTTTCGGGGAATCGAGGACACTCTGTTACCGGTGGGTGGCGGTGGGTTTATTTCAGATCTCTAGTGATGGACGCACAGGTTTGCGTCCAGCCTTTGCTGTGACCCGGCAGTGCTTCCCGGACCTTTCCTTCTCTGTGCACCTCTGATTCCTTCCAGATCTATTTCTAGATGAGATCTCCGGGTGGAAGAGCACATGCGTGTATACTTTTGTTAGATGTGGGCAACCTGCCCTCCAGAATAGGCGTGCTTTTTTTACACTTCCCAGTAGTGTGGGGAGGAGGGGTCCCCAAACCTCGCCAAGTGCGATTGGACTTAATCACACCCTTGACCAGGTTCTGAGGGAGATGACTGAGGGACATGGGGGCGTGAGGGGCTGATGCCGGAGGAGAAGCAGGGGCCCAGCCAGGTCCAACTTTTGCTGGAGACACTAGTAAATAACACAGTCTTCTAAATGTTGCTTATCATCAAAACCCAAAGGTTTTACATGTAAGGGGGTGCATTTAGCACTTTCAGAGAAAAGTTATATGCTTTGGGTTATAAAAATTCGCTAGAGCAGCCAAAAATGTCCTATCTTAAGTACAGTAGTGGAGAAGAAACCAACATGAATTGTAGATGAATATGTCCTTTGGGGGAGGTCGAACCAGTGGCCCACGGGGTGAGGCCAACACACAGATACATTTGATTCACACAGTCTCAGAAATTGGGAAATGCTGGGGCGCCTGGATTGGTTAAGCAGCCGACTTCAGCTCAGGGCATGATCTCGAAGTTTGTGAGTTCAAGCCCCATGTTGGGCTTTGTGCTGACAGCTCAGAACCTGGAGCCTGCTTCGGATTCTGTGTCTCCCCCTCTCTCTCTCTCTCTCTTTGTTGTTCCCCCACTCATGCTCTCTCTCTCTCTCTCTCTCTCTCAAAAATAAATAAACCTTAAAAAAAAAAAGAAAAGAAATTGGGAAATGCTTATCAGCAGATGTGTCAAGCTCTCTGTGTCTCTGAAATCTGGGGAGGCCCCCAAGTAAAGGTGCCCAGGGACCTGCTGTGTGGACTGTTTGGCTGAGGGACAGACCAGGCAGGGGACTTGTCATTTTATTTTACTATTTTTTTTTAATTTTAAATGCTTATTTATTTATTTTGAGAGAGAGAAAGAGGGAGAGAGAGAATCCCAAGCAGGCTCCGCACTGTCAGTGCAGAGCGTGACTCGGGACTCAATCTCATGAATTAAGATCATTACCTAAGCCGAAATCAAGAGTCAGACACTCAACCCACTGAGCCACCCAGGCTCCCCTGGGACTTGTGATTTTAGAGCCATGGTTCTCTGGATCCACAGTGTCAGCAGCTGCTGGGAACTCGCTACGAATGCAGGCTCTTGAGGCCACCCCAGACCTGCTGACTCAGAACCTGGGTGAAGCAGGGTCAGCACGCTGTGTTGTAGCAAGCCTTCTGGGCGTGATGGTGCACTCTCAGGCTGGAGCAGGTGCTTTCTAGAGAAACCTCCCCAGTCCATCCTCGCCAGCGAACACGCAGTGGGGTCCCGGGATGTCACTAACCTTAGGAATGTCCTCTCCACGTGTCCTTTGATTTGGGTTCTCTCCTTGTCTGTCTCTCCTTCTGTGTGTGGATCTGCGTATCGGGCCGTATTTCCCTTCGCGTCCCTCTAAACCTGCCTTCTCGTCTGCTGCCGTCGCTCTGCACCAACCTCTGTCTCTGCACCAAACTCTGTCTCTGCGCCAACCTCTGTCTCTGCGTCTCTTCCTGTGTCTTATCTGCTGTGACCTCCGACCGTCTCCATCTGTCATTGTCGCTTCTCCCTGTTTCCCGTGGTGGTCGTCCCCCGCCCCGGCCCAGGCCATCCGCCTGCGAGTGCACCCCCTCTATTTGATGGTCCCCGGCACGGTCGGCTGCTCCTACGCCTTCATGCTCCCCGTCTCAACGCCCCCCAACTCGATTGCCTTCGCCTCTGGACACTTGATGGTCAAAGACATGGTGAGTCCTGGCATGTCCCAACAGAGGCCTGCGACGGGGGTGGACGGCATGTGTGGGGCAAGACGTCTGGGCGGGACCCCTGCTCCCACTTCTCCAACCCCCAGTTTCTGAATAAGCCATTCGGAGCGGGGCCAGGAGTATCCACTTTAGCAGACACTCCGGGATGATTCTAACGCTCAATTTCAGGAAACTGCTTCGTGATGACTTTCCAGAGTCTGCTTCAGGGACCAGGGACTTCCTCCTCTCTCTGCGCGCTGCTCTCTTTTCTTATTCGTTCAGCCCACTGCTCTGTGCCTGGAATCTTTAGGAGCAGCAGGCTATACCCGGGGGCGAGGCAGAAGCGGGTATGAGCAGGGGGAGACCCACCAGTGTGCTCCCTGGCCCCTCGCTCCCCTGCTGAGCCCCCTCCTCCCTCCCTCCCTCCGCCTCCCTGGCACTTCCCCTCCACTGGCTGCCAGGCGCACTCAGGGAATGCAAATCTGAAGCAAACCCACTGAGAAGGGCGGTATTCCCAGTACAGGCTCTCCAGGCACAGAAACCCGTCAGGGAGGGAGAGAGAAAAGGGGGTGGACAAGAGTGAGAGACAGAAAGAGGTCACAGAGTAAACCGAGAGAAGGAGGAGCCTGGTGTGCCTGGAATTGGGGGGTGGGGGTGGGTGCACACCATGCAGGGCACAGACTCGGGATATTATTCAGTGCCCAGTGGGTGGACTTTAAAGGGATTTAATTAAGCAGGGCAATCAATGCAAGCAGGCTGGGTCCGAGAGGCCAAGGGAAGGTCCCACAAGACCAGCCAAAAGGGTCCTTGGCTTCACGCAGGATAGTAATAAACGTGAGCCGGAGAGAGTGAAAACAGAGTTTATTGAAGAGTGTGAGTGACCAAATAGCAGAGCAGGAGACCCTCAGAGAGGAGAGAGGAAGGAGCCTCATGGTTGCTCGGGTTTGGGGGTTGATACTGGAAAAGAGCCTAAGGAGCATGTGTGTTCCTTTAAGAATCCACTAGGGTCCAAGCAAAGAGTCAGGTGAGCGGTGGTATTATTCCTGGAACCGCTGAAGGTAGGGGTCCGATGCCCTTGGATCTGATGCCCCGGAACATGTCTGGGATCTGGCCCTTAGGTGTAATCAGGTGTTTGGGGTCTAGGACAAAACTCAGAGGAGGATTCACTTTCTCACGTCCCCCTGGAGTGGGAACAGAGCTTCTTGGCTTATTCAGAGGCAGAGTCTGGAAGATGTTTTCCAGCAGAAAAACAGCAGGGATGGAGCCCGTATAAAATGGAGTCCCTTGGGCTATCCTGCGTCACAAGGACGTGGTTTGACTTGTGCCTTTCTGAGATGGCTTTGGCTGCCGGTGGAGGGGGTCGCTGGGGGCTGGAGGCGAGTGCGGAGAGGGAGGCTGCTTGGGCAAGGCTGCGGGAAGGCAGAAGGGAAGCTATAGCGTCCATCCTGGGAACAGAGAGACATGAGAGAAATGGAGGGGCTCTAAGAGGTAGGCGCTTGCCAAGAGCCATGGAGAGGGCTGGAAGATGCCGAGGGGCACATGGAAGCAGAGAGGGGGGCTCTGCGGGCTGCGGTCCAGACCACGATGATGTACTTAGTTGCAGTGACGAATGTGGGACTGAGCAGGCGTTTTGAGGCAGGCTCCCAGGAGCCCAGCCCCCCTCCTGGTCGCCCCAAAGCTTAGGCCTGTCCCCTTCCCATCCTCCAAAGTTGCCAGGGTTTGAAGACCCCCCATCCCCGCAAGAGCAGAAGCAGGATAGCACAACACAGTTCTACCCTTGTCATTTGGCTCATGCCTTTCCCGGCTTGATGCCCTTTCCATGAACCACTACTTATTTATTGTGGCAACATTTATTTAACAATTTTACTCAATTAACATTCTTAAAATCACTTCAATAAGAGTGTTTGAAAAGGAGGATTTCTGATGCAAAATCTGTGCACGGAAAACTGGAATTATCTGCCACAGATGGGAAGTCTAAAAATAAAGGCGGACCCAAAACAGCAAAATAATTGCATTCGCCCTGATAGCAATTGCCCGGAGAAGGTTCTGGACCCTTCCTTGTCAAAGAGGGCTGTTGGTGAGGAAGAGACAGTGTTAAGGGCATGAAGAGCACCTGAGGGAGGCTTTCTCTGTGAGGAAGAGGATCCTAAAGGGGATTGAAAAGAGAGTTACTTGCTCACTGTGCAGTTCACAGCGGGGCAAGGCTAAGGAGAAACAACCAAAAAACCCAATGAGAAACAGGGATTTTCAGCCCTGGGATGGACGGAACGGCCCCGGAGTTGGGAAGGAGCAAACGTTAGGCTTGTTCTAGCTACTTAAAAAGGTCAAAACTTCCATCAGACAAACCTTCACAGTAAGTAAGTACAGCCTTCAGTAGACCTGTAGAGAGTGTGTGTGTGTGTGTGTGTGTGTGTGTGTGTGTATGTGTTACTGATCAAACCAGATCGTTTTCAAGCTGTGTGATGTGGGCCTGCCAACTTTCTGAACCTCAGTTTCGTCTTCTGTAAAGTGGAAATCATAATGATTACCACCCGTGAAGGGCTGCTTTCAAGGTTACGTGACACATCTACATGACACGGTAGCCAGCACTTAGAAAGCACTCGAGGGCTGGGGACATCTGCGGCTCTTTGAATGACAGCCTAGGGTCATGTGAAGAATGAAGGGTCTTGGGCATCCCGCGGCCTCAATTTGTGAGCTAGTACCATCACCTCCCGACTGGGAGACCTTGAGCGGATGAGCAACTTGACTCTGAGTGTGGGTTTTCCCATCTGTTCGATGGGCCCTGAGCTGACCCCTCCCTTAGTGTGGGCTCCGTTTCAGGTGCGGACAGGCCTCCTGATGAACCTGATGGGCATCCTACTGCTCAGCGTGGCCATGAATACGTGGGCACAGACCATCTTCCAGCTGGGCACCTTCCCGGATTGGGCCGACATCCACTCGGCCAACCTCACATCACTGCCGTCTGCCTCGGCCAACGACACATTTCGGACCCTCTGAGTCCCCCTCCGGGACTCTCTTTGGGCTGGGCCCTCCCAGAAGGCTTTTGCCGTCACCTGCTGCTAAGACTCCACAGGACGATCAAGCGGTTCTTTTCTGTGATCCAGTATGCAGCAAGCAAGGGTGACCTCCAGTGGTCCACTTGGGTCCACAGGCTCGTTATCTAGGACATCCTTTCCTCTTTCATGCAGGTTGGGGGCCCAGATTATCTCCCAGATCTGCCGCCTGAGAAACGGACTCCTTTATCTCTGAGCTGTTCTGTGGCTACGATGTAAGAGAGCCTTCTTCCAGCAATCTGGAACGGCGTTTGTCTTAAACAGCTGGAGCGGGGGCCCCTCGATGTGCATGGGCACAGCTGACATGCCCCCACTGCCTACTTTAGGCTACACCCTGGAGAGATCATCTCGCCTTTAGGGATCACCTGCCTCACAGAGGCTGTTGGGGCTGCACGGGTGACTCCTGTCCGGCCCGGCAGTGCCCGTTCTGTGCCCGCGCCCGTTCTGTGCCCGCTGTTTGAGTTTCACCACTGCTAACCCCCAGCAGCCAAGAACAGATGACTTCCTGAGGCCGCAGAGGCTGTGCAAAGCCTCCCTACGGCTCCTCTGTGTGCCTGAGCACACCAGGAACGTTCTAGAAATCCCAGCTGACACTTCTACCCATGCTGCTTAGGGTTTTCCTGTTAATCAGAGTCAGTCTGACCATAATTCTGGAGTCAGGCCACGCCTGGGCTCTCATGTCCCGCCTGTGGCCCAAGGTCCTTTCAGCAAGGACTGTCCTGCGTGTGTCCCTCAGGGGCCTTTGAGGCCGCCAGCTCCTCCTCGTTCAGCAGCTGGTCTTTACCTCCCCACCCACACCTCGAGGGCTAAGCATATTTAATGAGCCAAGGGCACGTTTTTTTTCGGAGATGAGAGGGGGGAAGAAAAAGTCAGAAGATAAATTGGAGTCTCATAAGAGGCCAGGGTGAAATTTCTCAGGCAGGCAAAATACCACAACCCTCTTCTCCAGACGGGGCCAGCGGAGACTTCCCTGGAGCCAGTGGCTGGTGGGTGGGAGCTATAGGAGAGGATGTGATCCCTCCCCGTTTCCAGCAGAGGCTTCTGGGCATCCCCGGTGAACAGCACGGTATGAAGTCCAGTGGGTGCTCGGGAAGTGGAACGAGGGGCCCAGCATCAGCCTGGCATCGGCAAAGGTACCAGGAAGGGGCCCAGAAGCTTTATGTCCCCGCTTCCTACGCATCCAAGGGATGAGTTTCTTCCGGGCAGCGTGGGCTGGGAAGGTACCACCTGTAGACTGAACTCCGTCCGGTACGAGTGAGTCATGGATGTTTCCCTGGGAGCAATGGAGAGAGGGGAGAGGCCTCCAGTTGGAGAAGGGGCTCCGCCTCTTCCCACATGAGCACTTTAGTATTTAGCCACAGTTACAGCCCATGGCAGGTGGAGGCTGCTCTCCTGGAGAATGGGAGATGGGAGAAACCCATGGGACCTGTAACCTGATGAATCGTGATTTCAAATCCTTCCGATTGAAAACACTATAAAATAAAGAATGTTAATCAACAGTGGACCTAGAGGTTATTTGCTTTCTGGACATAAGAAAGCGTTAAAGCCACAAATGCCTGAGCTGGGAGTTCTACAGAATTGACCTCCCTGACCTAACTTCCTCATTGCTCTCTCCTCTCCACTCTAACCACAGGCCTCAACTGTCCTGCCCCAGGGCCTTTGCACATGCTTTCCCCCCAGCCAAAAACATTTTGCTTCCAAACATGTGCTTGTTTCCTCACTTTATTCAGGTCTCTGCTCAAATGTCACCTCCCCAGGGAAGCTTCACTAACCATCTAGTCTAAAATCTTGCCCTCAACTCTTTACTCTATCTTTTTCTTCATGGTATTTAGTCAGGACACTGTACTGTGTATTTTCTAGAATATCAACTTATCAGAATACAAACTTTATTCTGCTGAGTGCTGTAACTCTGATACCTAGAACAGCTTCTGGCACATAATCGGTGCTCAATAAATATTTGGTAAATGAATCTATACCAGAATTTTTGAGACAGAAACCTTGGCTTCTGATCTGAGGTCTGTTCTGTTACTTTCTTTGTTCACTCCTTCTTCCATCTATTCATTCCATAATATTTCTTTAAAACCCAATTATGTGCTCATTCGCTGCCCCCATCCTTATGGAATTTACATTCTGGCCAAGAAGACAGGCAGTGGGCAGGCAAACAAAGAAAACCACTCTATGTCATGATTCGGGATAAGAAGAAAATGAAACTGGACAATGTGACCAACTGACTCAGAAGCTACATCAGCCAGGGTGGTCAGGGGGGACTTCTCGGAGGAGGCGGCATTGGCCTGGGATCAGGAGTCAGCCCCGTGCTCATGGAGGCATGGGAGGAAGGTGGGTGGCAGGGGTGGTACAGAGTCATGGGAAATACACATGAGGACAAACACAAAACGAAACATCTGTTTTAGGTACCTGTGGCTCCAGAACAGAACTCCGTAACAAATCTGTGGCACCCCAAAACTCGGGCCCTAGGACACAGCCACTGATTGGCATATGTTTCTGCATGTAGACAGAGCTCTGCAGGGACGGGTTGGTCCCTGCTCTAGAAGGCGTGGCCAGGGCGACTCAGCGGGGAGTTCAGCTGGAGCTTGAATGTTCACGAGGACCACGGAGCCTCCAGGGTCATGTGGCTTCCCCAGGAGTCTAGCCCAGACCTCTGAACCTGACAGCGGGCTTCTCAGAAGGCAAAAGCAGTGGCTACACGGCCCCTTAAGGGCTGGGCTTGGCAGTCTAAGAATTCAATTCTGCCACATTCTATTGGTCAAAGCAAGCCAAGGGTTGGCCGGTTCAAGGGGAGGGAAATAGGCTCCACGCCTTCATGAAGGACTGGCATCCACGTCCGGAGAGGGGAGGAGGCTTGGCCACTGTCTTGGGAAGACTCCCACCCTAACAGCCAGAGAGAAACGGCTGTGCTGTTCTGAAGCAGGGCGTCGACACGGCCAGAGCCTGATAAACAGGTGCTCGAGCCGCTTGCAATCAGATACATACAAGTTCAACCGAGATGCAACCACACACCAAACCAACCAGCGGAAACTAGGAAAGGGCACAGTATGTGATGATGACACAGAAGGAGACAGACACCCCCCGGACTGCGGGGGAGACTATAAGCTCCTACCCACAGCCTGGCAAGCAACGCGGCAGTAGTTAGGGGATTTGTTACCTGCGTTCCCTGTGGCCCAGCTTTCCTACTTCCGGGTGCGTATCCCAGCAAAATCACCCCGCGGTTCCTACGGGAGAAGTAGGGGGATATTTGGGCACTGCTGTTTGAGGTACCCAGGAGCTGGAGGCCACCAAGGTGGCCATCGTGGGGGGAGGGGAAGCACACTGTGGCAAACCCAACAGCCCGTGGAAGTGATGAACCCCAAGGATGTGGAAGGATTGAAGACACACACGCATGTTCTGGAGCGCATCTCAAGAAATTACAGAGGCGGGTGGGCAGAAGAACGGAAGCGCTGATGTCAAATGAGAAACAGGATGAATGAAAGTCACTGGATGAGGGATCCAATGAGCCACTTTGGACTCCTGGCTCTACACATAACCTGCGGTGTGACCTTGAGGGGGTCCTTTATGTCTTGGACGTGGGTGTCCTCATCTGAGAGATAAGAGTGCAGAGTCAGAGTTTCAAAAGGAAATACATAAACTAGCTAATTTGGGGAGAGCCTAGAAACGGGTCTAGTTACAAAGTGTGGGCAGAGGGTATGGAAACCATGAGGGAAAGCGCAGATCTTCGGTGGTGGGAGAGAGGGGAGGGAGAGGGCGCGGGCTCCTTCACTCCCTGGACTCATACAGCCCTAAGATGACTCTTCACCCACCCTCGGCTCTCCCGCTGCCGCTCCCCATGAACAAACCCAACTGCATCAGTCAGGATTCTCCAGAGAAACAGAATGCACAGGAAGCATATGCGTGCGTCTGTGTGTATATCCGGGAAAGAGCCCGGGGCAATCGGCTGGCAGAATTCTCTCTTGCTCAGGGGAAGTCAGTCTTTTGTTCTAGTCAGACTCAACTGATTGGATGAGGCCCACCACATCAGGAGGGGGGCAGTGTGGTTTCCTCAAACTCCATTGATCTAAATGTAAATCTCCTCCAAAGACACCCTCACAGAAACATCCAGAGTAATGTTTGGCCAGATCGCCAGAGGCTGTGGCCCAGCCACGTGGACACACAAAGCTCACCATCACACCCACGGAAGCCAGAATGCAGGAAAGCCCTCGGAGGCTGCCCGTCCAGGGGAACTCCAGGGATCGGGGCAGGTAGGAGAGTGGAGACTATTAATTGATGGCTAATATTTTTAATTCAGAAAATGTCACATTAAAACCCAGATTTGTGCTGCTCTTGAAAAAGAAAATACCAGGGGCGCCTGGGTGGCTTAGTCGGTTAAGCGTCCGACTTTCGCTTAGGTCATGATCTCGCGGTTCGTGGGTTCGGGCCCCGCGTCGGGCTCTGTGCTGACTGCCAGCTCAGAGCCTGGAGCCTGTTTCAGTCTGTGACTCCCTCTCTCTCTGACCCTCCCCTGCTCACGCTGTCTCTCTCTCCTGGAAATAAATAAAACATTTAAAAAAAAAAGAAAAAAGAAAAAGAAAATACCAGAAGGTCTGGCAACGTGGGACCCTACTGCTACCTGGCAACGGTAGTTTGGAGCAGGAGTGGTTGTGGGAAAACTCAACCTGAAGGGTAAACTGTCTTGTTTGCCACAGTTCCCACCCTCCTTAATGTCTTATGCTTACTCTCTCCACTTAAAAATTTTGTTTATAGTTTATTTATTTTTGAGACAGAGAGAGAGAGAGAGAGAGCATGAGCAGGGGAGGGGCAGAGAGAGAGGGAGACACAAAATCTGAAACAGGCTCCAGGCTCTGAGCTGGCTGTCAGCACAGAGCCTGATACAGGGATCGAACCCACGAACCGTGGGATCATGACCTGAGTCGAAGTTGGCTGTGCAACCGACTGAGCCACCCAGGCGCCCCTACTCTCTCCTTTTTAAAAACACAGGTTTTTAGGGGCTCAGTCGGTTAAGTGTCTGACTTCGGCTCAGGTCACAATCTCATGGTTCGTGGGTTCGAGCCCCTCGTCGGGCTCACTGCTGTCAGCACAGAGCCTGGAGCCTCCTTTGGATTCTGTGTCTCCCTCTCCCTCTCTCTCTGCGCCTCTCCCCCACTTGTGCTCTGTCTCTCAAAAACAAATATTTTTTAAAAATTAAAAAATAAAATAAAAATACAGGTTTTTAAAACTGAGTACAGAGGTGCCTGGGTGGCTCAGTCGGTTAAGCGTCCGACTTCGGCTCAGGTCATGATCTCACGGTTCATGGGTTCAAGCCCCGTGTCGGGCTCTGTGCTGACAGCCAACTCAGAGACTGGAGCCTGTTTCAGATTCTGTCTCCCTCTCTCTCTGACCCTCCCCTGCTCATGCTGTCTCTCTCTCTCTCAGAAATAAATAAAACATTAAAAAAATTTTTTAATAAAAATAATGATAATAATAAAACAGAGTACAAAAAATGAAGATAATATATCCTCTTAAGAAAAGTTATATTGATTACATTTCGAGAGGATAATGTTTGGGAGATATATATTAGGTTCAATAAAACATTTGGTTAAAATAAACTTCACTTTTTTATGTGGCTACTAGAAAATGCCTAATTATATACACGGCTCGCGTTCTGTTTCTGTAGGAGAGAGTATTGTCTCTGCCCACAGGCTGCAAAATTCAATGACGCCCAAGTTCTATGGGCTTCTGATTCTGATTCTAGATCTGAAGGCTCACCACTTCCTCTTCCTGTTCTGTCTTATGGTTCTGAATCTTCCACCCAGAATTTCCCCTCAACAAAGCTGATTCTATTTTTGATGATTCAAAAGACCCTTCCGGAAGAGGGATTTGGAGCTGGGCCAGCTTTACATAGGCAGAAGTGACTGCCTACATGTGTGAGAAAAGCCAAAAATATCTTCTGCCCCTTCCCTCCCCCCGCCCCTCCCCCCATGCCACCAAACTCCCAAATCTTACACATTCATCGGAGGCCTTCAGGAAATGATTAATATGCCCTTAACCAATCAGTTCCCCGGCACTGGCATAGAAACTGGGCAAATGCTGGTGTCTTCTAGGACCACTCAGCTCGGACCAGCCCAGTGCCCAGAAGTTTCCTGAGCAACGGGGCCCCAGGCTCGGGGTCTGGCCTGTGGGCATCACAAAGGCCTGTATAATCAATGAGGTCTGCGCAGCCCGGGGCTCACTTAGGCTGAGCTGTCAGCCCACATGGGAGAAAGCAGGGCAGGAGTGTTTCTCTATTATGTCCTGGGGGTTCTCTATGTACATTATTTCACTGATTCCTCGAGGAATCCTAAGAAGTAGGTAGTAACATTCTCACGATAGCAGAGTCCACATAAGTTCAGAGAAGGACAGTGTCTTGTCCAAGGTCACACAGCACAGTAAGTGGCAAAGCTGGTGTTCAAGTGCACATCTACTGCCCCCGGCCCAGGGCCCCTGCAGTTCAGAGGCAGAGCTAGACGGCTCCCTGCATGAGGCCTACGGAGGCTTCGTGCAGAGGCTGTGAAGGTAGAAGAACAGGGTAGAAGGTGTCCTTTCTGACAGCTGTCCCCAGGTGCTCTGCTCTGCTCCTTGCTCTAGCTGGCTGGCCTCTGTGGGTGTGTGCGTTTCCTGCGCCGTGACTGCTCCGTGCACTCCATCCTTTGCAGACTCGGTGCCTGGCCTGGCTTCCTGGAGGGGGCTTGCGATCTGGGAAGTGTGTCAGGCCCTCCGAGGGCCACAGGTGTCTCATTCTCTTGTGTGACTATGAGACTGTCACTTCCCCTATCTGGGCCACAGAACAGCCTCCTTCAGACCAGAGCAAGTGGCCGAGGCAACACGTCCTTATAAGGGAAAATGATGGGGAGTCTGGGCCCATCCTGTGGGGGTCGAGTCTGGGGGCACAAAGGAGGCCTCCCCGGAGGAGGCTGCCTGCTGGCAGTGATGGAGCACGGAGATGCTGGGGGCAGGGGGGAGGGCAGGGGCAAAGTGTCTGCCTCCAGGTCAGGATTGGCTCTCAGGACAGCCCAGAAGTGTACCTGCTGTACAATGACTACAGCAGAGCACATATACAGAGACCTCACACTTATTAAGTGCCTACTGTTTGCAGCACCAGGTGCATCTGAGGGAACCATGAGTCCTGTGAATCCTTCCCTCCAGACCAGTGGAGCAGTGGTTGACCAGTACGCTCTGGAGCAGGACCGTTGGGTATAAATCATGGCTCTACCTCTTACTAGCTGAGTGGCTTGTTTACAGGAGTTAATCCTTTGGGTCTCAGTTTTCTGAACTGAAGAATGAATAACTGTACTTAACCAAAGGGTTGTTGGACATAAGGATTCAGGGAATTCAAATAGAACTATTGAGAAGCATGCCTGGTGCCTAGTAAGTGCTCAATAAATGCTAACTGCTACCCTTGTTCCTCTCTTTGAAGAGGAGGAAACTGAAACAGAGAGATGAGGTCACCTGCTCAAGTTGGCACAGGTGGGGAGGGGACAGAGCTGTGACTTGAAGACAGGTCCAAGTGAGGCTGGCGACAGAACACCAGCTGAGAGGCAGCCAGCGCCGCTGCGCCTGGAGGAGAGTCTCAGCAGACGTGCCCGTGTGTTTAGTGGACTCCCACCGCTCAGAGTTGAGGAGCCTGTTCCTCTTGGGACACACAACTGTGGAGGGGGAGGGGCGGGCAAGGCGAAGCCAAGCAGGGTTCAAGTCCTGGCACTTCCACTAAGGAACGGAATGGCTTCCCCGAGCCTCAGTTTCTTCCTGTGTGAAATGGGAGCAGGTCCCCCTCCCTGGTGTCAGGCTCACAGATACTGCTTGGAAAAGGCCCTTTCCTCCCACACCTTCCACCCACGCCCGCACCCCCAGGGTGAGGCAGCTGTCCCAGCCCTCGGGGGGGGGGGGGCCCGGGTGGGGCGGGACAAGGTGACCAGGAGGCCTTAACTAAGGGCCAAAAAGCAGAAGGACCAGGGCTTCCCAAGTTCTAGAGAATGCAGCTCCCCCCGACTTCCTCTCCCCCGGCCGTCACTGCCTGAGGCTGCCTGCCCGGATCCACAGCTACTCAGGAAGCATGAGGGCCGTCTGGGGGACCGCTGGGCCCCTCGCCAGGACCGGGTAGGTCTGGGGGCCCCCCCACACTGGGACCACAGGCAAAGAAACCACAGTCAGGCATGGTGGGTGTGGGCTCGGCCCCCAGCTCTGCCCTTCCCTGGCTGTGTGGCTTTGGGTAAATCTCTGCCTCTCTGGGCCTCGGTTTCCTCATCTGTGAATGAGAGTAGTGATAACATCTGCAAGTTGGTTGTAAGAACTGAATGAGAACGTGCACGCACAGGGCTTGCGATTGTGCTCCGCTCGGGAGTAAGGCCCCCAGCAAGCGAGCAGACGCGTCTGCGTTCTGCACAGCCTCGTTCAGGCCTTGGCCTTCAGTGTGACTTAGAGCGGGCTTCCCTTCCCTTATGGTTTATATCATTTGCTGCCAGGTTCCAAATACTCCTTATACGATAGGAGGAGGTTTAGTCCTAAACCAAAATGCCCTCAGGGGGCGAGAAGGGCGGTAATTTGTCATCTCTGACATCTCTTATGGTCATTCGCACCGTAAGTGGGTCCGCGGTGCTGCCAAGCTTTTATAGCAACTCCCTGGTTCATTGAGTCTCCCCACGGCCCGGACCTCTGTTCTGTACCCTCTCCATCTTCTTCAAGCCTGCACGGCTCGGTCCCGTCCGTCACTCTCTCGGTCAGCGCGGACCTTGCTTTCCCGCTACTTTGAGCAAACAGAATCAGTGATGCTACAGCCGACACCGGCTACACGCCAGATGCTATTCTGACACTTGCAATATATCAGAGACACCAGGAAGCGACCCGCCACCCTGGGGGCGTGGATGGTCCAGTGACAGATAACAGCCAGTGCAGAGTCCTTACTATGTTCCAGACACGGGGTGACACCCTGAGGTCCTACTTCCATGGCACCATTTTACCGAAGTGAGTTCCGTTGTTTATAGAAATGAGAGAACGGAGGCCCAGAGAGATGAAGAAACTTGACCAAGGTCACACGGATGGTGAGGAGTGGGGTGAGGGTGGGAACCCAGGCAGCCTGGAGGCCTCGCCCTCAGTCATTGCTCTTTTCTGTGTCAGAGGAACTGAGATGTACGTGCCCACACTTTGCTTGTCGGTCACGGTCGTCTGTGCCCATTTCCTCTGCCTTCCCATCTGCTACATGGGCCGGCCGGCCTTGCTCTTTTCCGAGACCCTCCTCAGATTTTGTGCTGTCAGTCACAACCCCTGCCACCACCGGGAGCCTCCCTTCGTCCACGCCCCCTCTTGACTGGCTCTGCTGTCTGTCCCCAAACGTGTTGGAGTCTCTTCCATCTATGTCCCCTCCCCACCATCGGCCACGGCACCATTTCTGTGCCCCTTTACTGCAAAGATGAGTCGGCAGATTTGTCGGCACTCATCTCCTTCCAGTCTGTCCCGGGCCCACTCTACTTGGGTTTGGGGCCAAGTGCCACCACGCTACCCTCGGGCACTCACCAGGGACGTCTCCACGTGGCGAAACCCAATGGTTGTTGCTCAGCCCTCAGCCTTGCTGACCCGTCAGCGGCGCCTGACCTACCTGGTCACTCCCCGACGTTACCTCGTTCCTCAGTCTCCTTCTCGCCTCCCAACCTGTTCACCCCGGGGAGCGAGAGCTCGGTCGTTGAGTCTCTGTCCTCCCCACCCAGGCTCGGTCCTGCGGAGTCGCCTCCTGCCCCATGGCTTTAAATGTCATCTATAAATCGATGACTTTATATCTCATGTATTTCCCACCTCTGGAAATGATGCCTCGGTGTTTCAGTTGCTCAGGCACCAAGCCCCATGGTCATCCTCGACTCCCTCCTCCCCCTCCTCCTCCTCCTCCTCCTCCTCACTCCTCCAGCCAATCAGACTGCCTGTTACATTGGCTCTTCCAGCAGAATGTATCCGGAACCCAGCCTCTTCCGACTACACCTCTGCCATCGTCTTTAATGAAGGCTCTATGAGGGTGGCGATTCTCGTCTGTTTCGTTCATTCCTGATTCTCCAGCGGCGAGCACATAGTAGTTGTTTACTGAATACTTTTGAATGAATAAATATAAAGACAACAGAGGAGAAAAGCTCCCGAGTGGCCAACGGATCCACTCTCCCACCCCCTCCAAATTACAGAGGAGATCTTGAGGTCCGTGGAGAAGGGACGTCCAGAGTCACACAGTAACCCAACAAGACTGTGAATTCAAGTAAAATAGTGTGTCTCTCTCCCCATTATTTTTTCTCTTTCTTATTCTCTCTGCTCTGTGCTCGTCTCTCCGTGACTCTTTGACTCCCCGGGGCCAGGCGCCCTCGCACAACTGGAACGGTGGACACAGGCAGCCCAGACGTTCCTCCTTACGTCCCCAGAAACTGCCAGAAACTGGGCGGCTCACTGACAGCTCGGTGGGGGTGATCCGAGGGCGGGCTCTGACCGGTTCAGCATGGGTGGGTGGTGTGGCTTTGGGAGGGAGGCCCCAAGCCCTGCGGCTAAAGTGGGGGAGTCCGTTAGTCACTGAAGGGAGCTGTGGGTCAGGGGCCTTGGGCGGACAGCCAACCCCTCACCCTCCTGAAAGGCGCCCCCCCCCCCGATTTCCTTGTGTGCAGGTGGAGGCTCTGGGGCTTGGGGCTCCGCAAGGCCCTTGCCCCTCTGCAGGCCGCCTGGGTCGCCTTCTCTCAGCCTGTCCCGACCGGCTGCGGCCAGCTGCTGACCCAAGTCCTCCTGTGTGGCTGCCTGGCTGCCGCCGCCGCGTGTCTGACGCACCGCTGGCTGGTGTCCTCGCTGCACTGCAACCTGGGACCCTCGGCCACGGCGGCCACTGTCTGCGGCCTCCTCGTCTTCCTGGTCCTGGGCTTGGTGGCCCCCGCGCGCTGCCTGTTCGCACTCAGCATCCCCACCCTGAGCACGGAGCAGGGCCGCCGCCTGCTCCTGTCCTGGAGCACGGCCACCCTAGCCGTCGCCGTGGTCCCCAACGTCCTGGCCAACGTGGGCGCAGCCGGGCAGGTGCTGAGATGCGTCACGGAGGGCTCCCTGGAGGGTCTGCTCAACACCACTCACCAGCTGCACGTGGCGTCCAGGGCCCTGCGCCGAGCAGGCAGCCAGGCCTTGACCCTGCAGGCCCAGGGCAACGGCTCTGTGCTCCTGCTTCACACGCTCAGGGCCACTCGGCAGGTGCTGGAGGACTTCTCTGGCCTGGAGGCGCTGGCCCGGGCGGCCGTGCTAGGGACCCAGCAGGTGGTGGCGGGGCTCTTCGCGCTGGGGCTGCTCGTGGACTCGGGCCGGTACCTCCACCGCTACCTGACTGACCCGCAGTTTGACAACGTCTATGCCACACGACAGCTGGCGTGGCAGCTGGCGGAGGCCCAGGCCACACATCTGGTGGCCTCCCCGCCAGCCTGGCTGCTCTGGGCCGCCCGGCCGAGGCTGTCCCAGGGCGAGCTGCTGCGCTGTCTCCCGAGGCTGGGGCTGCTCACCCTGATCTTGGTGGCCACAGCTGTGACGGTGGCTACTGACCACGTGGTCTTTCTCCTGGCCCAAGCAGCCGTGGACTGGGCTCAGAAACTGCCTGCTGTGCCCATCACGCTCACGGTCAAGTACGATGTAAGTGGGATGATGGGAGGAGGGGGCTAGAGTCATTTCCTCGTAGGAAGGGCTGGGGTGTGTTAACCATCGGATTCGCAATTGAGTTTTATTTGCCTTCAAGTCCCAGCCCTTGGAGAAGCTCTGGGAGCCTGGGGCACTCACAGACTCCTGCTAATTCCCACCACAGCCTGAAGCATTGGGTTCTACACCCCCCCCCCCCCCCCCCCGCCCCAGTACAGGTGAGGACACAGGTATCCAGAGACTTTAGAATAATTCGATCCCTGGGCCGCCTGGGTGGTTCAAATGGTTGGGCATCTGACTTCGGCTCAGGTCATGATCTCATGGCTGGTGGGTTCGAGCCCCGTGTCGGGCTCTGTGCTGACAGCTCAGAGCCTAGAGCTTGTTTCAGATGCAGTGTCTCCTTCTCTCTCTGCCCCTGTCCTGCTTGCAGTCTCTCTCTCCCTCTCAAAAGTAAATAAACATTAAAAATTTTTTTTAATAGAGGCTATCATTAAGAGCTGACATTTGTCTATATCAGACTGAATGATCCAGGTCAGGAGTCCACCAACTTTGGCCCACGGGCCAAACCCTGCTGGCTTCCTGTTTTTGTAAATTAAGTTTTATTGGAACATAACGATGCCATTTGTTTATGTGTTTGCCATGGCTTTTCAACAAAGTTGATAGTTGAACCAAGGATTGTATGATCTGTGAAGCCTAAAATATTTACCATTTTAATAGTAACATATAAAATATTTACTATCTATGTACCATTGGGTATATTTATTATCTGATCAAGATTTGTGGTTTTCAATCTTTTGCCAGAAATCTTTTTTTTTTTTATGATGAGATCTCACACACACACACAAAAACTCCACTGCATGAAACCCAAGTTCAGACTCTGAGTGAATAATATTAATGGCTAATATTTGTTAGGTACTTATGATATACTAAGAAAGTGCTTTCTCAAACTGCATGAAATCAATTTCATCAACTTGGGAAGTTATGGCCAGCTATTTTTTTTTTTTAATGAAATCAAATAGTCTAGAAATTTATGAGAGTATATTGTAAATGCTAAGGTTATGTCTTGCTTCATGACATTTTTCTTGATCACAATACAATTTGTGCTTGGAAGGTGCTATGAAACTCATTTCATATGGGGGCGAGGGGTCTCGGCAAAGAAATGTATCAGGCAAGGTCCTGAGGGTGGTTCCTAATTTGCAGTATTTCATCAAATCCAGGATGTCATTGATTGCAAGTCACATCATCATTTTTATGTGTCTTTAGGACAGAAAATGCTGCCACCCAAACCAAGACACAATGCCTTCTTATCACTTAGAATTTAAAAATATATGTTTCTTATTTATTTTTAGAGAGATTGAGAGTGGGGGTGGGGCAGAGAGAGAGAATCCCAAGCAGGCTCTGTGCTGTCAGTGCAGAGCCTGACGCGGGGCCTGATCCCAAGCACCATGAGATCATGACCTAAGCCAAAATCAAGAGTTGGATGCTTAACCGACTGAGCCACCCCGGCGCCTTTTATCACTTAAAATTTTAATTGTGTTCACATAAAATAGCTTACTTTTTATTTCATATACACCTATCTTATCTTTCTCAGGTATGGATAAAAAGAAAAACGGTGGAGTAATTTTGAGATGGTTTTCCTAAAACGTCCTTCCATTCAAGCCTGGTTTCTCTGAACGACCCTGCTTGAGTTGTCAGTGTCTGTGGCCTTTCACCCAGTACTATTGGCCTCTGTGCCTTCCAGAGCACTGGTGATGCTCCACTATCATTTCCAGCATTTTCCTCCAAGCTGCAGACACCCACCCTGCAAGTTTTGTTGCCAGCACCCTCTGACCCTCTCAGAAAGCATGAATGAGCACAACTGCGGGATGTGGTTACAAGTCCGATTGCTTTAGGGGCGCCTGGGTGGCTTAGTCGGTTAAGCGGCTGACTTTTGCTTAGGTCATGATCTTACGGTTCATGGGTTCGAGCCCCACATCGGGCTCCGTGCTGACTGCCAGTTCAGAGCCTGGAGCCTATTTCAGATTCTGTGTCTCCCTCTCTCTCTGACCCTCCCCTGCTCATGCTGTCTCTCTCTCTCTCTCCTAGGGGAAAAAAAAAAAAAAAAAAAAAAGTCCGATTGCTTTAAATACACGTTTTCATCTCAAAGATGTTAAAATGTGGGGGGGGGGGGGGTGAATCCCCAAACTGATGAAATATGATAGCTCATTTGTCCCTGTGACCCTGTAAGATAGGAATTACTAGTACTGCCATTTTACGGAAGAAGATAGTGAGGTTCAGAGAAGCCAGGGAGCTTGCCCAAATTCATCTAGCCCATATGCAGCAGAACCCAGGACTTCATTGTGGTTTCGGTGGGTCCTAGCCATGTTTACCTTCAAGGGCTCCTTTCTCCATAAAAGATATTAATGGTCTAATATCTAATGGCCTAATTGGTCTAATGGCAAATACATTGATATTATAGTGAATCATATTCTGCAACTTAAAAGTTCATTTGTTTATTCTGATTTTATTTTATTTTTTATTTTTTTATTTTTTACAAATGGTTTATTGTCAAATTGGTTTCCATATAACACCCAGTGCTCATCCCCATTATTCTGATTTTAAAAGAGAATAAAATCCTTCCGTAGCCCCCAGCACTGTGGCTGGTGGAAAAGTTGGCCCTGGGCAAAACCAAGGTAAAACCCAAGAAGTCTGGCTCCAAAGGTCAAATGGTTGACCTTTTACCTCCCTGCCTTCCTACCTGTGCTCCAACATGCCCCGATTGTAAACCCTAATTCCTAGGACCAGGAAGACCATGAGGTTGGAATCCCCCTCAGCTGGGACTGGTCCCTGAGCTGGCCACCTATAACACTATTTGACCTTAGATTGCCCATCTTTTCTTTTCTTTTTTCTTTCTTAATGTTTATTTATTTTTGAGAGAGAGTATGTGAGCAGAGAGGGGCAGAGAGAGGGAGACACAGAATCCAAAGCAGGCTCCAGGCTCTGAGCCGTCAGCACAGAGCCCTACACGGGGTTTGAACTCACCAACCGTAAAATCATGACCTGAGCTAAAGTCTGACGCTTAACCGACTGAGCCACCCAGGTGCCCCAGGTTCCCTGTCTTTTTAGAGAGGCTCACTCTGGGCTCAAGCTCGTAGGATTCTGCATATTTGATGGAAAAGACATCTAAAGTATTCACTAAAGAGCTTAGCAAAGAGTGAATGGCCAGAGCACCCGTTTGGTTTTCTTTAAAGGATTCTGCTCAGAACGTAATACTAAAAACGGCATTTGTACAGTGCTCGCAGTTTGTCAGAAGGCCTGCTTCAGCCTGCTGATCTCATCTGGCTGTTCTCAGCCCCTAGGAGGCGGCGCTACTTCTGCGCCCATTTTGCAGATGCGGGCAAGCCTGCGCCAGTGGCCGGGGACCGGGGAGTGGGGAGGTGGCTGCAGGGCCTGTCTGTTGACTTGGCCTTTTTCTCCTCTTTGAAGGCCTCGTACACGGTCCTGGGCTTCGTCCCCTTTCTCTTCAACCAGCCGCCTCCGGAGAGCCCCTTCCTCTCCGCTCACAACTCGTTCCAGTGGGAGCTCCGCCTCACCTCCGCGGGCTGCCGGCTGCTGCCGGCACAGCGCCCCCAGGCGGCCGCCCCGCTGGTTGCCGGCGCCTTGCAGTTGGCAGCCTGCGCAACCGTCCTGCTGGAGACCTACGCCCGGCGCCTGCGGCACACCATCGCTGCTGCCTTCTTCTCGGCCCAGGAGGCCAGGAGGGTCCGCCACCTTCACGCCCGGCTGCAGCGCAGGTACGACAGGCACCGAGGCCAGTCGCTGCCCCTGGAGACTCCCTCCTGCTCCCCACCCCCGGGCCGGCCAGCAGCCGCCGCTCATGGATAGACAGGCCTGCACACATTGGACGCTGGAAAGGACAGAGAGCAGGAAGGCAGAGGGGGAAGAGCTTGGGAGCCTCACAGACCGTGGTCCTTGCTGTGTGACCTTCGGTAGATTGCTTCACCTCTCTGAGCCTCAGTTTCTATACCGGCATAATGACTGCATAATAACAACCCAGTGACCTACTTTTCACATGGGCATGTGGGAAGGAAGTCGATATTGAACATAAAAGTCCTCAAGAAGCAGTAAAGGACTCTGTACGGTGAAGACAGGAAGTGCAGAGACAGCTCCAGTTTCCTCCGGACCGGCTGGGGGTCAGTCCAGGCTCTCATCGGCATCAACCGCCTCCAACTGGTAGGTGGAAGCCTCGCCTAGTGAAATGTGCCTGAATGCTCCCAGAACCTATTTCTCTGAATCCCCTGAATCTTCTGAGATTTAGCAATCTAACATTCTCTTGATTTTATAAATGAACTATTTATTAAATCCTAAATTAGATTATGTTACTCCTTTGTTTCAAAATCCTTTGGGGATTTCCCATCCAGGGTGGCCACGGTTTAGCAAATAAAAATACCTGACATCCGGGTCCATTTAAATTCCAGATAAGTAACAAATACAGGTTTAGTACAAGTACGTCCCTGGGCCATTCTTGTAGTGAACATACTTATACTAAACCTGTATCGGTTGCTTATCTGAAATTCAACTTGACCTGAGTTGTCCATAGTTTATCTGGCAAATGTATCCCCATCAGAGTTCTCGTGAAACCCCAGCTCCCTCGCCTATGGGCGTGGTGGTCCCTGCTTTTCCCCTCCAGATCATTCTCCGCCCTTCTCTTTCTTGGGAATCAAAAATCCGTGAATTGCATCAGCCTGGCTCCCTTGGCCTCTGACTTCTAGTCAGGCTCAGCCAGTGGGAGTCACTGGCAGGCGATCCAACGGGGGAGCGGAGAGAGGTGCCAGGGTATTTGTTCCCACAGTTCTCTAGGCTATTTGGCAGAGACCGCATTCATTCTGTTACCAGCAGCCACAGCTCCTGTCTGGCTGGGCTGCCTCTTGCCCGTGGCTAGCACTCTCCCTGGGTTCTAGAGGGTTATAGCTTCCATGGTTGCTTGTCTGAAGGCCTCATCATCCTTCTTTCCTTTACCAACCCCCCCCACCCCGCCCCGCCCCATACTTTAATCAAACTCTTTAGTTTCCCCCTTTGAGACCATCCTCTCTTTCCTGCCAAGGAATTGATGTGCCCTGGGTGGCAAAGTCCTTCTCAAGCCAGCCTCTCCCTCCCTCACTATGCCCCCCCCCTCCCCGCCTGCATGGGCTTCAGCTCCTGAGACTCACTAGGCTGATTTGCACCTCGGGGCAATGCTCTAGCTGTTCCCACATCCTGGAACACACTTCCTTCAAGTCCTGGCATGGACCGCTTCTTTGCATCCTTTGGGGATTGGCTCAAATGTCATCTCCTCCGAAAAGCCCTCCCTGACCACTCTACCTAACATTGTGCTATCCCAGCCAGGTCCCCTCCATCACAGGAGTGGATGAGCTACCCTCTGTGAGCCAAATCTGGCCTGCTGCCTGGTTTGGTGGACGGGATTTTCTTGGAACATTGTCACACCCATTAGTGTGAGTGTTGTCGGCTCTGATGGCAGATTTGAGTGGTCAAGTTGGGACTGAGTGGTCAAGTCGAGACTGAGTGGCCCACAAAGTCTGAAATATGTGCCGTCTGGCTCTTTAAAAGGTTTGCCGACCCCCAATCAATTGTATCAAATTTTTTTCTCCATAAATACCCTGATTGATATTCTTTATTATCTTACATAAGCATTTAGAGACTTAGCTGCCTCCTTGTTTGTTACTTGCTGTGTATTTCATGTCATCCCCACAAGAACGTAAACTCCGTACTGTGTGTCTGGTCCTCCATGGTATTTCCAGTACCTAAAGCCGTGCCTGGTACAAAGTAGGGATGCAGTAAAAATCAGTTCAATGACCAGATTTCTGGAGGTGGGATTGCACTGGCCACATCTTTTCCTGAAGATTTGGGGCTGGCAGAAGGGAATGGTCAGGCACTGGAGGTGGCTGTGCTGGGCCAAAATCTGTGGCCAAAGGGAAGAGGTACAAAGCAGTTAAGAGATAGTTCCCCATGCGAGTGTTTTGACTTAAAGAGCCAGTGTGCCCTGTGAGTCACCAACTGCGGTGAGAGCTGAGCCACAGCTCGCCCCTTTGCCACCCACTCCCCAAAGGTGTCTGTGCTCTTCACTGAGGGCCTTCACCGGCCTCACATGGCACCCTCTGCCCCAACACAGCTCCATTCCCACAGAGCTGCCTTGTGGCTTATTTAGGTGGTGACTCACCCACACATTTTTTTTTTAATTGCACGACCAATCCATGCATCCTTGTCCTTACAAAAATTAGAGCAGTGCAGATAATAATAGCTAGTGTTTGTTGGGTGCTTACGATGTGCTGGGAGTGGGGGCAGAGACGCCCACAGCCCACGCTCAGGCCATTAAATGTGCCCAAAACTCTGTGAAAAGCTCTAGGTACATCATCTTAGTTAAACCTCACAAAAGTATAGGAGATAGATGGTGTTATTCTTATCCTTCTTTCAGAGGTGGAGAAACTGACATTCAGAAAGGTTAAGTGATTTGCCCAAAGTCACACAGCTAGTAAACTGCAGAGTCAGAATTTAAATCTGGGCAACCTGGGGGCGCCTGGGTGGCTCAGTCGGTTAAGCGTTCAACTTCGGCTCGGGTCGTGATCTCACTGTTCGTGGGTTCGAGCCCCGTGTCGGGCTCTGTGCTGACAGCTAGCTCAGAGCCTGGAGCCTGTTTCAGATTCTGTGTCTCCCTCTCTCTCTGACCCTCCCCTGCTCATGCTGCCTCTCTCTCTCTCAGAAATAAATAAAACGTTAAAAAAAAGATTAAAAAATTTTAATAAAAAAATTAATCTGGGTAATCTGGCTTCTGGAGCGCCCTTTCTAATCCAAAAGCTCTCTGAGGCAGGCAAAGGGATCATTATTGTGCCCATTTTACAGATAAGAAACCTGAGGTTCAGCGAGGATTATGGGATTTTCACTGAGTCATCAATGTTAATGTTGACCTTTCTCCTACCCAAGAAAGAATCCACAACTTCCAAGAGGAGAGTTGGGGGGGGGGGGATGTTAATTTCCCTTGACCCAGACAGGTAGTGGGGACCCCTGGGATCTCATGTTGGAAACTTGGCAGTATCAGATGCCCTCTGCTGGCTGCCACAGGCCCAGCTTTGGAGATGAGCCATCAGGAGGGAAAGGCTCCAGGCCAGAAGTCCAAGCCCCCCTCTGCAACCCTCTCACCGCCCACCCAGAAATACCCATGTGACCCTGGAAATGAGTTCAAGTACTGACTTCCACAGTCAGAGAAAGACAGATGCCATATATTTTCACTCATACGTGGATCTTGAGAAACTTAATAGAAGACCATGGGGGAGGGAGGCGGGTGGGGGGGGGAGGTAGAGGGAGGGAGGGAGGAAAACCATAAGAGGCTCTTAAATACTGAGAATGAACTGAGGGTTGATAGGGGTGGGGGAGAGGGGAAAGTGGGTGATGGGCACAGAGGAGGGCATTTGTTGGGATGAACACTGTGTGTTCTATGGAAACCAATTTGACAACAAATTATATTAAAAATAATTAAAAAATAAATAAAAGACTGTGACTTGTAAGAAAAAAAAAAGTGCTGACTTCCAATCCCCACTCTGGCACTTGATGGCTCTGTTATTAAGAGGAAGGAAAACAAAATCAAAATCTCTCTAACCTGGGGGACAGGGTCCCTGAGCTCTGATCTCCTCTATTACATCCGCCTTGTTGTAGGGCAGGTGTTCTTGCCTATTTATGGTGGTGGAGCAAAGTACCCCCAAAGCTAGGGACCTAAAACAAAGATTTATTATCTCACAAAGTCCTGGGGGTTGACTGCGCTCAGCTGGGTGGCTCTTGCCTGCAGTCTCTTGTGTGGGTGCAGGTGGAGGGGGACAGGGGCTGGGGCCACTTCTAGTGGCCTCTCCACTCAGCGTCTGGGGCCACAGTGCTCCTTATGTGTCCTGGACAGAGCATCTTAAACGTCTTACTGGAAAAGTGGGGCTCTGAGGGGCCCCGGAAGCAGAATCTGCCAGGCCAGTTAGGGACCGCAGCCAGAACTGGTCAGCGTCACTTCCACCAAAAGAGTCCCAGACTAGAGGGAGCGGAGAAATGGACCCCACCTCTGACTCTGGCCGAAGAGCACGTGGGAACCCCCTTGGAAACCCAACCTGACAGGTGACCCCTTGGCTTTCAAAGAGCAGGAGCTTTTCTGAAGTCTGCTGGGAAGGAGGCTGTCATCCGCTCGCTTTCTCCAGATGCTGCTCCGGGAGAGAAGGGAAGGACAAACAGCGATAATTTATATAACATGGCAACGTTATTTCAAGTCAGCCAGAGCTACATGCGGATCTCAGCTCCCAGTGAGGACTGGGTGATTTTGCGACCCCCATCAGCTCTTAGGGACTCTGTCTCTCCACTCTCCGTGTGTAGAAGCCAAGGTGGTGGAAGCAGTCTGTGAAGCTACAGGACCACAGACCCACGCCAGGTCCTGAGTGGGGGGCTGCCTTAGGCAGTGAAATCCAGGAGAGAAGGGCTTCCTCTTGGTAACAGCACTGCCACCATCTGGCTGCAGAGGGCGCTGGTGTGCACCACCAAGGACTCATGGGAGGCGGCCACAGCGGTGGGCATCCAGCACCCGCTCTCAGGCACCTGGGGACAAAGTCACCCAACCTGCTTCCTCTGTAGCTTTGCCTGAGGTCTCTGGAGCAGACTTCATCTGGGAGCCCTTCCCTGAGAGTGGTGTGGATGGGTGTTCCCCACCTCCTCCACCCAAGGTGGGACGGAGGCAGATGAGGTGAGAAAGCAGCTAGAGCACAAAATTTAAGGAGGCACTGGCTGAGGGTCACATGTGTGTAGCATCTCTCTGTCTCTCTCCTTCTGTCTCTTTCCCTCTCTCCCTCTCCCTCCCTCTAGGACTGGTTACAGAAGAATACAACCTTCCCAGAAGCCCCCAGCCACAGCCATTCATGACTCATTAACCAGAATTAGCCACTTGCTTATTACCAGTAAAGGGCTGGGATCACCAAGACAGGGTGAGATGTTTTGCAAATGGTGGGTCACCAACTGTGGATCAGGAACCAGATTAGCAGGTTGTAACCAGTATTAAAAAAAAAAAAAAAGAGGGGCGCCTGGGTGGCTTAGTCGGTTAAGCGTCCGACTTTCGCTTAGGTCATGATCTCGCGGTTCGTGGGTTCGAGCCCCGCGTCGGGCTCTGTGCTGACTGCCAGCTCAGAGCCTGGACCCTGTTTCAGCCTGTGACTCCCTCTCTCTCTGACCCTCCCCTGCTCACGCTGTCTCTCTCTCTCTCTCCTGGAAATAAATAAAACATTAAAAAAAAAAAGA